ATGTTAAAAAAGAACTTGTCAATAAATACAGATTTTACTAAGCAAAAGCCTATTATAGCCCACTGCTGGACATAGACCTCTCCTTAGAAAGGAAGTTTTGGCCTACTATACCACGAAGGCCAGACGGGTTAGAATAGGGTTTGTGTCTAGTTTTCCTTCTCTTTGCAATGCGTTTATCCTGCATAGTTGGCTCCTTACTACACCCACGGGATGAATACGGGTGGTGACATTCCGTATTCTTAATCCGTCACACACTGGTCATTATCTAGCTATTTAAATATTTTGGGATAGCTATTAGCAGACTCAGAATCAAACGATACTCATCTACCTAGTATGTATGTCCAGTCCACAAAAAAAACAAAGGAAATACCAATCCTACCAGGAGTAGTTACTTTGTTTTAGAAATGTCTGCGTGTATGGCCCTGGTGTTGGATGTTTACCTTGGTTGTATAAAAATAGTAATATCAATAATACCAGCAAGCTGCATATACGCATTTTATTTTATTTGTGATCTCGAATAATGTATAAAATAAAATCAAAACTAACATACACCCCGACTTTAGCACACAAGTTCAACCTATTAGACTTACTAAACTTTAGAAAAATTTGAAAAACAAATCACATATGATCTCGAAAAATCTGTATAATGGTGATTGGCACAACAACAAGACAGATATAAAACCAAAACTTACAAACTCTCCCACTTTAGCACACGTCGACTCATCTGTTGCCTTCACTTCATTCGCTAAACTTTGAACATTCTCTACAGGCACTGCTACATCTCCTTCGTCACCTACCAAGGAAGTATCCTTCGCGACCGACACCACATTACATAAAGTAGTGTGGACAAGGACTAACACAAAAACGATAGCGCAGAAACGACTCATTGTAGTTAAATGAATGAACAACTAACGACGAATAATCTGCTGACCTGGTTTATAAGTATGGGTGCTCAGTGCCACACTTAGGCCACTACGGCGCTTTGGTGTTGCCCTTGAAAATTATCAATTTTCCAGTTTGAGATACACGTACATATGTGAAAAGGGTTTTGTATCTTTTTCTACTAATTAATTTGCCTTATGTAATGTATGTTTATGATAAGTTAAGATATTGATCATTCGAGGAACAAAATATTTTAATAAGCTTTCAATTACTCTTTGAATTAAAGCAAAACAGTCATCATCATCCTCATCATCAACAGCCTTTAATAGTCCACTGCTGGACATAGGCCTCTCGATAGGAAGGAGGTTTTGGCCTACTATTCCAAGTTGGCCAGACGGGTTGGTATAGGGTTTCTTTCAAGTTTGCCTTCTCTTTGCAGTGCTGTTGTCCTGCGAAGTTTGTTCCCTTAGTCGACTCTTACGACACCCACGAGATGATAAAGGGGTGATGACATTCCGTATTCTTAATCCGTCACCGCACGGACAGCAGCAAGCAAAAAAGTAGGTAGCCTATTCTTGAACAACAATACTTCTTTTTTTAAGACTATTAACTTGACATTTTGGGTTAAATATTTTTTATTTCAAATACACAATATTTGAAAAATATCGATGTATATAAGGAAACCATTCACCGTTAGATGACCATAAGGTCAATAAATATACCTGCTTTTTTAAGTCGGATTCCCCTGATTTTTAGCGTCGACATAGTCTTTGTCAGACGTCTTAAAGCTAAATGTAGTTATAATAAAGACAATTCATCAACAGCCTTTAATAGTCCACTGCTGCACATAGGCCTCTCCTTAGAAAGGAGGCTTTGGCCTACTATACTACGCTAGCCAGACGGGTTGGTATAGGGTTTGTATCAAGGTTTTCTTCTCTTTGCAGTGTTGTTGTCCTGCGTCGCTTACTCCCTTAGACGGCTCGACACCCTCGGGATGAAAAGAGGTGGTGACACTCCGTATTCTTAATCCGTCACCACACGGACCGTAAGACGTACGTAAAGACAGATTACATGGCAAACAAATTCTTCCATAATTAGTATTTGCAACTCTGAGACCATTCATCTCACAGGGCTTTAAACTTATTTGGCACCATGTCTTATCGGTGACCCTGTTCTGAGTGGATTTCCCATTACCATGATTTAAACGGTTTCTTCATTGAGTTAAAACAACACTAGAGAAGCAAACCTCATTATCACACGTCGAAAAAAGTGTAACCTCTTTTGAACTTTGACGACGTAGCTTTGATACCACTAAACATTTGAAAGTAAACATATTTATGTCTCATTTACACGCGAGACAAGAACAATACCATCGCTCGGATTAGACAAAGACAAAGACATAACGTTACGATGGTGGGCCAGTGTTGACTACCGTATGAAATTTTACCCATAACAACCAAGAAACAATTTTTTTTTAAAACAATTTTGTAATAAAAAAAATAATTTAAATATTTTAAATAATACATTTCGAATTGAATGGAATAGGTATAAATAATAAAATAACTAGAAATATTTGGTTAAAAGGGTTTATATTCAGTGTAAAATCAAACTCCGCTATGAAGCATCAGTTTTGTATACAATTGTCTTTTAGACTCTTTTTTATAAGTTTGTGTGAATATTTTACTTTCATGATACAATCTTGTTTTTACCTATGTATAAATTATGGCATTTAATAGTAAAAGTGAATGATCAACTTGTACTGATAATAAATAATCCCCAGGGTGTATTGCAAATTCTTTTAATATTTTAAAAGACAAATAAAAAAAAATATAACAAATATATATATATATTTTTTGTTTTTTATATTTTTTTATTTATATTTATTTACTTTTTTATTTTATACATATATATTTTTTTGTACAATTATTATTTATATTTGATAATTAATTGAGAAAAATGAATGAATGAATGAATTAATTCTTTTATACAAAAGTCTCCAGCACTGCGAGCTTGGCAGAAGGTGAACGTTCAACGGGTCCCTAAAAAAAGTGATCGATCCAGCCCTAACAACTACCGTTCTTCCTATATTTAATTATTATTGACAAAATGTTTAAAAACAGTATAAAGCATATTATTTCATAAATTATAAATTCTCCCACTAATGTGGAAAACAAAAATGATTTTTTAATGGTAACACTGATTCTAAATTACAATTATCAATGTTTTATTTCAATTATAGCCTTATTTACGATATTATCAATACAAAAACCATAAACTTACACGTGATAAGTAATTCCGCATGATTTATAATGGTTTTGTGACCTTGAATCGCATTCTTTCACTACGCATTTACCCATTTTGGCGATTGTTACTGTCATGTGTCGCTATGTTCAACTCGGTTGACGCCACATTGAACACTGAATTGACGTTTGCTACGCATATGCCTGTGGACAGATGTGCAGTAGCAACGATTTTAGGCGGTAATTACTTATCTATGTAAGTATTATATCAATGGGTTTCTTGCATTCATATCGTCATGATCGTTGAATAATGTCGTTGACGTTTTTTAGAAAAAATACAAAATTCAGTATTTACCATATTTGGATACTACATTGTCTAAATATTATTACTCCTGTTTTTATATCTATTTCAGATTTTAAATTATTCAGTGTTTGTTTGATAGGCGCTCAAAGTAAAATCAAGCGTGTAATTTTTCTAAAAAACCGTATAGTTATTAATTGTTATTTTTATTGCATTTAAAACAAACCCTATCTTTCACTTGAATGCCAATTTTTTCAGTTACAGATTTAGAATTAAAAATCGGTTGTCTGTAAAGTCGGTTTACTGACGATAGTTGAACGTGACAACGTCATAAGAAAATACTGATGGAATGGTAGCATTTTTCAAAAGAAAATTTTAATTACGCTTCATACTTGACGAAAACATGTAAATGTATTATTGTATAGCAGCTGTCCACGCGGTCGCATCCCTGATTCAAGTAGGAGAGAGACAGATGTCGAACGCTGCCGAACGCGGAGGGCGATTGTGCCTCTTTGTCGCTCGTTCCGCGCTCTCACTTGCACTTCAAGCCTTAAATGGAACGCCTCAGAGCGAGGTAACGCCTCATGCGTCATGTTTTTTCGTGCGTGCAGCCGGCTCCATCGAATTATAAGACGTTGTCACGTCAAAAAATCATGTCATGTCTGTAAAGTTCAATAAATCAGATCCGACACTATTGTAAGACTACGACGATATGGAAGGTTTCAAACGTAATTGATTATTTCAAACGCGTAACGTTTTGTGATGATTCATTTTTTCGTGTCGTTCGTGGAAGGTTAGAAGATTATTAACAGGCAAAAATAAAATAGTTCAGAACTTTTTGTGCTTGTGGAAACCCCGTCGGGCCGTTGCCGTAAAGGGGTTTTCGGTAGGGGGTGTGTCGGAATCGAACCAACTACAACCACACGGAGCGCCTAAAATATAAGGGATGCGGGGACAGCATTTATTAAGACATGCGGACCCCTCCTAGTGCCTGCTAGAAGTAGAAGTAGGGACAAACTTTGTGTAAAAACTCTCGTTTAGGCGATGTTCAGGCACATGCAGAAGACGCCCCCTCACGGCCTCTATAGCGGTCGGAATCCTCTGTATCAATAAATTTTAATAATTGTTGACAAGTATTGATACAAATAATTGACTTGACAATGACTGACTGCCTCGGTGGCGCAGCGTTAACGTATACGACTCCTGGGCTGAAATCTCGAGTTCGATTCCCGGGTCGGACTAAATGTTTTTATGATTTGCAAATATTTGTTTCGGGATGGGTGTTTTGTATGTTTTTACAAAAAAAAAGTATTTAAATATTCTATCAGTCAATCTAGCTTTTATAGTACATCTCTGCTTAGTTTGTAACTAGATGGCGTTGTGTGTCAGACTTCAAAAAAAAATTACATATAACTGTCAATGTTATAAAATAAGTAATTTGATTTTGTATGAGCAATAAAACAAATATAATAATCTTTCAATAATATATAAAAACTTTTATTTCAATATTTACATAATATTAGTAATTACTGACAAGGCTGACAGTAGCTTTTCAACTGTCTGTCTGTCCATCTGTGTCATTCCTCATCGATGTCTCCTTTTCGGCCCGAGACGCACCTTTTCAAAAAACCCAAACAGGCTTTGCTGCAACACCCCTCGGGGCCCATACACTGTAACCATAACAACATAGTGGTTAATAGTTATTTAATTCTAGCTGGTGCGCGCGACTTCGTTCGAACCGCGAATTTGAAAAGGGCTGCCTTAGTAAGTTCGATTCCCGGATCAGGCAAAATTTTATATGCTTTTTCTAAGAGAAAAAATAGCCTAAGTTACTCCTGATATAGACAGCTACTTGGTAGTAAAATATTATCAAAATCGGGAATTACCCGGAACAAACAGACAGAGAGACAGACAGATAAAAATATTTAAACTGGTTTTTAGGCATAGGTATCGTTCAAATAACCGTGTCAGCATGAAAACAACCTAAAACACCGCGCCGGTAACACGGTACAACTTGCTATACTGTATGTGTATCAATACAAATAGTTTAAAGCCGCTTAAACTTTAACTGTAATTAAAAGTGAAAAGTTTTAATCATCAGTGAACCATTGCTAATATGAATTGTTTTCGAGAAGTGTTTAATATTGATTAAATGTGTAAATAAAGTTTATATCAAATACACATCTACCGACGCAAACGGTTAGTGAGCAGTAGTTTAACGTAACGCGTAAGCGACACGCATTCCACGGCGCTTGCGACCTTCTTCTCGCGACTGTGTGTGCGTTGTAAGCTTCGGACCGTATATCAAGCAAGTTTATCTATCTCGTAAGTCACACCTCAATAATATAATCAACGAATAACACAATCACACTTTGATTTTATTATACTCGTAAAGTGGAACTAGAAGAGTATAATGCCGTTGAAACGTACACCACCGACTACTCCGACCGCCCCAATATTGTCCCAGTCAGATTCGAACATACCAAAAGCAATGCATGAGGAAACTTTCAATATCACTGCGCGTCCTAAAAGGCCTCGTACAGAATCTTTTTCGCCAAGTACCGACCTCACCGCTGTGTATACTGAAATGCGGGACATGTTCGAGTCCTTGAGATCAGGGCAGACTGCACTGTTGGAGAGGCTGGTGGCAGATGTCAATCAGATTAGGGTGCAGAATGAAAATATACAAAAAGCCTATTGTGAGATTGAGAAATCGATTGAAATAATAAAGAACAATTATGAGGACATGAAGATTAAATTATGTATTATTGAAAAAGAAAGACAGGAATGTAACAATTATACAGAAGGGCTCCAAAAAAGGATTGAGGATTTGGAATTTGGATCTAGATCGTCATGCATTGAGCTCCGCAATATTCCAATGAGGGAAAACGAGACGACTGATAACATTGTTCAACACGTATTGAATATTGGAAAGACCCTAAATCTAGATATAAACCAGTCTAATATTCGTGACGCTTATCGCCTTCCTGGTAAATCCACAAGCAAAACTATTGTTGCTGAGCTTGGTACTGTTATAATGAAAAATAAATTTCTTGTGTCTACACGTAATTACAATAAAAATAAAGAAGTAGGACTTAAGCTTAATACAAGTCTGATTGGCATTCAGGGACAATCTCAACCCATTTATGTTTCCGAACACTTACCAGGAAATGGTAGAAGACTATTCCACAAAGCCAGGGAATTTGCCAAACAAAATAATTTTAAATTCTGTTGGACCTCGAATCAAAGAATATTTCTGCGTAAGCAAGAAGATGCCAAACGCATCAGAGTTCACCGGGAGGAGGACTTGATCGCGCTGCGGTCCACATGACTATCTTTTGTTGTTGCTATCATCTCTTACAAAGAGATTTTGCATGTCTTTGTATTTTTCTGTTTCTATACTCTTTTTTTGCGTTTACTATGTTGCGGTTGTGTTCTTTGTTTGCCGACACTCCGGCTTATTGCTATTTTTAATTTCTTGATAACTTATGATCTTGATCTGTATAGCTATCATAATGGATATCATAAGTACATGTATTTTAATTTTTATTTTATTCACAACCTATGTTTATTTTATATTATTGGATTATTGTTGCACTATTTCTTGTCCACATATGGTAAAAATATGTCTAAAGCTTGCAAATCTAAGAGTACTCTCACCAGTATCGGTTACTGCCATCCTCAACCAAATACTTTGAATCATTACTTCAATTATTATAATTCATTGACTGACCATGGTTAACAGTGTTATGGATGTTGTTACCGACGTTGATAACAATATCAACGTTGGAGATTCGTTTTTGGTTGAGGATCCAGAATCACTTTCACTTTGCAAACTTGTTGGTATACCTTCTCTTAAAATTATTGTACAAAATATTCGTAGCATAAATAAAAATTTGGAAGATTTTAGAATTCTTATGGCAAGGAGTGGGGTGGATTACGATATCATTATTCTTACAGAGTGCTGGCTTCAAAATTTTGATTTAATCCCAAAAATAGAACAATATGACATGTACAATACCAACATGCATATTAATCAGAACAGCGGTGTTGTTATTTATGTTAAGAGTGATTTAAAAAATGTTAGAGTATACGAACCAAAGATCGTAGATGCTGATTGTTTAGTGGTGGAAATTGATAAAGATAACGTGTTTATTTGTTTGTATAGATCGCCTTCGTTTGATTCCATAGCAAATTTTCTTAGCACCCTTGATGAATTGTTACTTAAGCTGAAACGCATACCTAACATTTATTTAACTGGAGACATTAATATTGATATTAGCAGCCAAAACAGTGACCCCAAATCTGATGAGTATCTAGACCTACTTGCAACCCACTGTCTTTTGCCGAGTCATTTCTTTCCTACTCGCCTTAACAAATGTATTGATCACTGCTTCATAAAATCTAACTCGAAAATGTTAACCGTCATTTGTAAATCGTCGGTGACTGACCATAGCAGCTTGTATTTAAATGTAAATTTGTGTCAGCAGCGTGGTAAATACTTGAAACGAAATAGAATGGTTCAAAAACTTAATTATGATACAGCTCACAATCTGATGAATAAATTTGATTTCACAAAAATAACATCTATATCGGACCCTAACACAGCAACCAAATACTTTATCGAAACCCTATCCGCTATTGTTAAAAAAAGCACTCAACTGATTGCAATACCGAACCGTCAGCAAATAGGCCAACCGTGGATTACTTCTGGTCTATTGCGTTGCATGAGATTCAGAGACACATTGCATAAAAGGCATTTAAAATCACCAAGTGACAAAGACCTAGAGCTAACTTATAAACGATATCGAAATCATTGTAATAATATTCTTCATAAATTAAAAAACGAGCACAATAAAAATACCTTAAATGAAAACAAATACAATATTAAAAAGACTTGGGATGTTGTAAAAAATGTATGCAATTTGAATACATCTCAGAAAGCTAAAGAGCCTTCCGAATTGCTGAGCGTTAAATCGACATATCAGGAATCACTTGATTACGCCAATGATTTTTTTGTTAACATAGGTGCTAACTTAGCAAATAATATTTTACAAAAATTAAAACTGTCTGAGGCCGAGATGGTGGAAAGCTTTAGATGTAATGACACGCCGCTGAATTCATTTATGCTGCTAGAAACTGATGAATTTGAGGTACATAAAATCATAATGTCGCTAAAAAATACTAATTCGACAGGTTGGGATGGCATATCGTCCAATTTCTTAAAAAAAAATGTGCACTTCATTACTGGACCTCTGGTGCGTATATTGAATTTGTGTCTATCTAATGGCAGATTTCCTGACGTCCTAAAAGACTCCATTATAATACCAGTATACAAGTCTGGTGAAAAGGACAGTATCACTAATTATCGACCGATTTCACTTCTGCCAACGTTGGCTAAAGTTTTGGAAAAAATTATCAACAAGAGATTAGTTAGTTATCTGGAAAATAATAAGATCCTATCTATAAATCAATACGGCTTTAGACAACATAAATCTACCTCGGACGCTATTGAGGAGCTAGTTACAAATGTGGCGCAAAATCTGGACTGTAGAAAAAGATGTATTGGTGCGTTCCTTGATTTAAGTAAGGCTTTTGATACGATATCAATTCCTCTGCTGATTCGCAAATTAGAGTCTATAGGCATTAGAGGTGTACCCCTGGATCTCCTCGAAGATTACCTCACTAATAGGACGCAAACACTGAAAATTGGAAATGGTTATAGTTCTAAGCTAAAAGTTAATTTCGGTGTTCCACAGGGATCTGTGCTGGGGCCTACATTGTTTCTCATTTATATAAACAGTCTATGCAACATTCAAATACCCAATATGAAAATAATTACTTTTGCTGATGATACTGTCATTTTATTTCAACACTCGTCATGGACGCAAGTTAAGGCAGTGGCTGAGACGGGAATCCAAATCATTACCAACTGGCTTGACTGCAATCTATTAACTCTAAATCTTAACAAAACAAAATATATCACTTTTAGTATAAGAAAGAATTTACAGCCTCCACCTACTTTCATACTGCAGGTACATACTGAAACATGTGCTAATACAGGCTGTTGCGACTGTTACACCTTATCTGCAGTAGAGAGTATAAAATATCTTGGGATTGAAATAGATCAGAATTTGAACTGGAAAAGACATATTACTAATCTCAGATCTAGAATACGTAAACTCATTCCCATTTTTAAAAATATTAGAAACTTAAGAGACCAGAAGACTAATAGGATGGTATACTTTACTTTATGTCAGTCTATAGCTACTTATGGGATTGCGGCTTGGGGTGGTGCGCGTAAAAGTATCCTGATAAAAATTGAAAGAGCCCAGCGGTGCATTCTAAAAATAATTAATTTCAAACCGTTTAAGTACCCTACCTTAAAATTGTATAGGGAATTTGAAGTCCTCACTATTCGTCAACATTTCATTAAATACCTTATTTTGAAGCAACATCGTCGCCAAAGGCCTCCAAATAGAGCCACGAGAAGAACACACGATATCTATGAGGTGCCCTCTTGTAAAACTGCGTTTGCTCAATGTTTTTCACACTTTCTCGGCCCGCTGCTTTATAATCGCATAAGTAAAGTTAAAAGTTTGACAAACATGACGAGGTTTGTGTGCAGGAGGGAACTGGAGAAGTACCTAAGCAGTTTAGACTACGAAGGGACAGAAAAAATTATGCAAGTATGTAAGTAAAGACACATTTCGTGATTGTTATTTGTACGGGTGATTTAATTTTGATCCGAAATTATATGGGAGTATGTATAGTGAGTATTGTAAGCAAGCAAAATGGTGGACAAATATTTTATGTAAGCGCTTAAATATGTATGTATGCGATTATATATGTATGCGTATAGACAAATAGAACTGTGTATAAATAGTAGTGATATACATAGTAAAAATATGTGTGTATATATAGATATTTATTTAGTATACGTAGGTATGTGTAGGTGTATTTGCTTAAAAATGTATTATATTCACATAATACCTTTGTGGGTTACGAAATAATATCTGAGAAGAATTTACCTTGCCGTAACACAGTCTTTTGACTAGCACGGGAGGTAAAGACTTTATCGAAAAGAAAATAAATTATATATATATTTACTGTTCCTATAGCAATAAATAAAACCCTATCTAAATCTTGTTTAATAGTTATTGTAAGATAATCTTTTTACACTCGAGTTATTTTACTTTTTTCTTTACTAATCACTGTTACTGTTTTTTATGTTTTTGTTTTCTTTTTTTTTTTTGTTTTTCCTTGTTATTGTGCTATTGGCACAACAAACTAAAGTATTTGTTAAGATGGATTAGTGTAATTTATTTACCACTATTGACGTATGCCATTAATTTACTTCATGTGCATGTTCGGAGTATAAATTTTTGCTACTTGTATATGGTAAGAATTCTGTATTCCGAATTTGTGTATCATGAATCTGAGATAATTCCGTGCACTAATCTATTTGGTACTTGTAAGTTGTCTAAGTATAGTCGATTTGTTCAGTGGAATACTTATGCGTCGTATCACGTAGTCATTTTATTTATGTCTCCGATATGTTTGGGTTTTACATGTGTCATTTTCTGTTCTTTTTCTTTTTAATAAATTATTATTATTAAAAAAAAAAAAAAAAAAACCTATTATTTTGACATTACAAACAGACACTTCAATTTATTTGTATAGATTAGGGTACTTCCCGTTATTGTGTCATCGCGTCTGTGTGGTGACTGATTAAGAATACGTAGTGTCACCATCCATATTCATCGTGGGTGTCGTAAAAGCCACTAAGGAAGCACACTACGCAGGACAACAGCACTGCACAGACAAGGAAAACTTGACCAACCCTTTACCAACGCGTCTGGTCAGTGTGGTATAGTAGGCCAAAACCTCCTTCTAAGGAGAGTCATATGTCCAGCAGTGAAAGGCTGTTGATAATGATGATGTAAGCAGATTTCCAAGGTATTTCAAACACGTAAAGTGACGTTTTTTAAACATGGTCTCTCGCTTTTTAAACGTGCAGCCTGTGGATCTGGTGTATTCAGGATTGTCACGTTATTGCACCACGAATGTTTGGTGAGGCCAGCATCAGTGGCCTCCTAAATACCATATAAAAACTCTAATGTGTGTTACTGACATTGTAATACAATGCATCAAGGCAGTTGTCTTTAATATTAAATAATAGTCATGGCAAGTGATGGCATGGGTATACTATTTACTACCCAAATATAAGTCTGTAATAATAATAAAAATAACTTCATACATCCCACACGGCGGTCTTATCCCAAACCATATTCGAACTGCTGATAAACGTTCACCCAGACACAGAATACTCATCACACAATTGTTTGTCTCGGGTGGGAATCAAATCCACGACCTTTAGATTAGCAGTCAGGGTTACTAACCTACAAGACCAACATCATCATCATCATCATCAGCCTTTAATAGTCCACTGCTGGACATAGGCCTCTCCTTAGAAAGGAGGTTTTGGCCTACTATACCACGCTGGCCAGACGGGTTGGTATAGGGTTTGTGTCCAGTTTTCCTTCTTTTTGCAGTGCTGGTGTCCTGCGTTGTTTTGCGCCCTTAGTCGACTCTTACGACACCCACGGGTATGAATTGGGGTAGTGACATTCCGTATTCTTAATCCGTCACTACACGGAAAGACAACAAGATCAACAGGCCCACATAAATAGTATATTAAAGATTAAGAAAACATATCATATAATTTAATTTCGAAAATCTGTAAAATGATAGCCTACGACAAAACAACAAGACAGAAATAAAACCAAAACTTACAAACTCTCCCACTTTAGCACACGTCGACTCATCTGTTGCCTTCACTTCATTCGCTAAACTTTGAACATTCTCTACAGGCACTGCTACATCTCCTTCGTCACCTACCAAGGAAGTATCCTTCGCGACCGACACCACATTACATAAAGTAGTGTGGATAAGGACTAACACAAAAACGGTAGTGCAGAAGCGTCTCATTGTAGTCAAAAGTATGTAGAACTAACGACAGTTTTCTGCTCACCTGGTTTATAAGTATGAGCGAACTGTGCCACACTTAGACCACAACGGCGCTTTGGTGTTGCCCTTGAATATTTCAATGTCCTTTTACCAGTTTGACTTATAGATACATATATGAGTTAATAAAGGATTATTCATTTCTATTGTAATAGTTTTTTTGACTTGAAAGTGTATGTACGAGTATATGACAAATTAGCATACTACTTATGCGAAGAACAAAATGTTATACTCGTGGTAATCTTTCAATTAATCTTTAAATTTAAAAAAGAATTTTGATATTCTTAAACTAGTAATTAATTTGAGATGAGTTTGTTGAATTAAGTATTACAACTTTACGAGATCTTTGAAAGATTTACCCAATTGATGTAAAGAAACTGCACAACATTAGGTAACCATAAGGTAATATTTACCGGTTTTACCGTGGGAGAGCCATGCTTGCAGCCATGAGAGACCGGAGTGATACCGCGGCCGCACGGAAAACCGGTGTTAAGCAATTCTTTCGTTGCCTTTCACTGAGTGAGGTTACCGGAGCCCTAATCCCCAATCCCACTGACTCGAGCGGGAGGGGCTCCAAGGGACTGTGACTTTTGAGTTGCAGGTGTCCATAGGCGGCGGTAGTTGCTTACTATTAGGTGAACCGTCTGCTCGTTTGCCCCCTTATGGCTTAAAAAAAACTCAATGCATTGATGCCTTAAACCTGAATGTAGTTATAATAAAAAAATAAAGATATAGATTTATTTGCAAGCAAATTCACCTAAAAATAGGTAAGTAATTATGAAACAATTCATCACACAAGGTTTTTAACTGATAAAACTATACTATATATATATATATATATATATATATATATATATATATATATATAACTAGAATAATAAAACTAAACAGAACTAAAATTAACTTTAATAAAAAACTTATCAAATAAGAAAAGAACTTTTAAAATCGGTTTACAAAGAAGGGAGCTCTGAAGCATTTAAAAGAAAACACAAACGAATTGACAACAAACCCTGTTTTTGAAGTCTGTTAAAATAAAAATTTAATTACTTATATTCCGTATCCAATCTAATCAGAATTACCCTTACTTTTACGACAATATTGTGAGGTGAAAACACTGGCCCGCACCCGTACACACAGATAACGGAATAGTACACATATTGTTTACAAATCTGGTATGTTGTTAGCTATTAGGACAGGGTTTTATTTATTTTTTTCCTCAATACTGATTACAGTTAAGTTTTTTAATGTTGGAGTTATAATAGGTCTTTACCTATGAAATTGCCGTTTTGTATGCAATAAGTGAAAGTACTTATTTTTTTAAACTTTTTTATTTCTGTTATTCGAAGTAATCACCCATGCAATCGACGCATCTTTTGCCAACGCATTGGCAGTTTATTGATGCCCTTCTTGTAAAAATCAGCTGGACGGGAGGCAACAAACTCTTCAAAGACATTTTGTACTGCCTCTCGGGGATTGAATTTTTTACCCACTAAAAAGTTGTCTAAATTTTGGAAAAAGTAATAGTCGGTAGGTGCAAGGTCTGGTGAGTACCAAGCAACCAGCTTTGGTCAATCGGTCGTCCCCACTGCTCCTTCACGTCAACGCGCGACCCCATACTGCGCAACAGACAGTCTCCAAGCTGCAAGAGCTGGGGTTGGAAGCTCTCCCTCATCCGCCATACTCACCTATTATAAAGACCTAGAGACCTATTATTAAGTAGGTTGGATCTTACTATGGTATGAAACTTTTTTCTATAATTTAACGGGCCTTTTAGGATAGTTTGAATACAGAGTGTCACCACCCCTATTAATCCCGTCGGTGGCGTAAGCTGACTAAGAGAGGAAACAACAGCACTCCGACTTGTAAAAATATCTAAAAAGATTTAGTGCCCTTCAAGTGAGGTCACAATATTACTTAATAAATGAATTTTGAATCCTTTACAAACACTTCAAACAGGATGCGAGTCACATCCTTTTTAATTGCATTTGAATACGATATTAACTATTTTAATATGTTTTTTCGTGATTATAGATTTATTTTATGTTATGTTATGTATACTTTAGGCGGGTTAAGTGGTAACCGAGTATGTTAGCACATTGCATATTTAAGCACTCATAGCCAGGTCGGTCTGTAGATGGGTGACCACGTTAAGTCGTCGTCGTGCATATGAACATCTGTGACAATCGTTACGGACAGTTGGAGCCTCAAATGAGTCTGCCAAGAGTCTTGACTTAGGTTAAAAGATCTGATGGCAGTCGCTTCACGTAAAAAATCGAAGTTCAGGCGTAACCTAGTAGACTTAAAGCCGACCTCAACCTATTTTGGGAAAAAGGTACGGAGGAAGAAACCTTTACCTAAAATTTTACTGGCTAGTTTTTACCTAATTTTACACAACCTGATCGAAGGAGACTTAACCTAATCCCAAACGAAATACCCTTCGACCAGGTTGTGTTAGTGGCGTTACATTGCCGCTTGCCCAACAATTGATGTTGGTAAATTATATACCAATAGACCGAATACATTCCTTGTGCGATGTAGGATTAATTGATGGTCGCTAGAAAACATAGGAGCATATTTTTGTATTTATGTGTACCAATAGTATTTGTAGTCCACGGTGACGGATTAAGAATACAGAGTGTCACTACCCTTATTCATCCCATGGGTGTCGACTAAGGGAACAAACTACGCAGGACAACAGCACTACAAAGAGAAGGTAAACTTGACACAAATCCTATACCGACCCTTCTGGCTAGCGTGGCATAGTAGGCCAAAGCCTCCTTTTTGAGGAGGCTTTGGCCTATGTCAAGCAGTGGACTGTTAAAGGCTGATGATGAAGATAATATTAGACGCTCTAATTCTTACAAAAACGTTGTTTTAGTTATTAAGGGGTTAATGGGTTTACCAATTACGGAGGTACCTTCCTTGGAACATAATTGGACTCGCCGCCGCGAGTTGATATATCATTTTATGTAGTGTAAAACTAAGATATAACTTAGTTTTAATATGATCAATCCACGACAACAGAATTTCACACTTTCGAATTTCTAATCTATGTTTTTTTTTATTTATAGTTTATGCATAAATGTAACAAAGGTGGACTTACCTTAATATAATATCATATACCCAGAGTACTTATGTAAATAACATTTGAATAATTTTTAATAAAAAATACATATACAATAAGTAATAATGGTACTAACACACACAATACATAAGTTTTTGTACACTTATACCTACATATAAACAATTATATACATCCATACAAATAAATAAAATTGAATTGCCTATTTGTAATGTCAAAATAATAGGTTTTTTTCAAACTCACACGGTTATTTCCACGACACCTATGCCTAAAAACCAGTTTAAATATTTTTGTCTGTCTGTTTATTCCGGATAAACTTCAAAACGTCTTCATCGATTTTGATAATATTATACTACCAGGTAGCTGTCTCTATAAGGAGTAACTTAGGCTATTTTACTCCCAGAAAAACCCAGTAAAATTTTGACCGACCTGGGAATCGAACCCGAGGCCTCATGGACTGCAGTCGCGTACCGTACTACACCACTAAGGAAGCCCTTTTCAAATGAATTTAGTCATCATCATAAAAATTAATTGTGCACTTGTACACGAACGTTTATAATAATTTAGCGTAAGTCTTGTTTACTTGATTAAATAAACGAATTATTATTAATTATTTTTTTAATTATAACTATAAATCTGTTTCTAAAGTATACACATTAATGAGCTGAGAAACTGACTAACTGATAAGCAAATGAGTAACGCCATCACGCTAATGTTGACCCACAGTTCTGTTTTACATAACCCATATTAGTTACCATTAAAAAGCAGCATTTAAATTTACGTTAGCCGTCGTTAAATTAAAGTGTCATTTGAAACGATATTAATTTCTAAGTATACCTACCGAGCATATATTTAAACCTGTTCGGGACTTGGAAGATATATTAAATTAAAAAACTTAAAAAACATACGTTATTTTTGGCAGTCGTTTAAAATTATTTATATACTTATTCAAAATAATATCTTTGATGGTGCTTTGTTTTGTGAGAACCGGTAACTTAAATGTCTATCTATACGCTGTCTGGACAGTACATATATATAACAAACTATGTATATTAATTGTTGTATTCATACTTATCCACTTAGTTACAACTATAAATAACTTGAGGGACTTTGGGTAAAATAATTTATACGAGTGCATAGATAGTGTTTTGGTTTAGGCGGTCACCTCGCCGCTGCCTACTGTGTTAAGTGTTGTGGATTCGATCCCACATGAGACATCACTCCATAAATTGTTGTCCTGAGTCTGGGTGTTGCTTGTGTCCGTTTCATGAACGTTTGTAAAGTCCCCCCACGACACAGGACTCGTATTCCTAATGCGGGAGTTATTTTTAAAACAAAACCTAAATATATTATCTATATATACAAATAAAAAATTTGGAACACCTCCAGCACGGGTATCAACACAAGGTTTGGCTGCAGCACCGGGTCAAGGTTACCATAATCATAAAAAGACCACTGTAGTAACAGTACATCAAAATTAAAACAATCGGAGTTGTATAAGTTAGTGAGATGCCTTAATCTACTAAGAAATGAGCTGATGATTTTTACAAAATTATAGCTAAGAACAATTTCGATCACATCAGCTTTCAAAGATAAAACCCGTTTCGTAATCGGTATATTCGTTTAGGAGCTACTATCCCACAGACTTCTAATACCCTTTCTTTTTGCGTCGGGGATTATAAAGTACCTAAAAAGACCTGTTGGGCTGTGGATTAAATTCTCTGTTTGATAAATCTGATAAGCACGGATCATAAAGAATGAATTGATGCAATATATCACATTTTTACAGAGATTTTCGTTGCAAGCGTGTAAGTGAAACCTTTTATTACTTTTAAATTCAACTTTAGAGATAAAGAATTGTATTAAATAAAAACGCCCGTTTGGTTACATAACAATCAATAACTTGTTTAGGACGTGTGAAAATTATTAAGTCATGGTTTGGCGCTAAAAAGCACAGAAGGTCATTATATAACCGCTTTGGATTATTCTTAAGTTTTACAAAAAGTAAAAATATAACTCTATACTCTCTTTTTTTATATATAGACAATATAATAGAGTTTCATCTCAATATAAAATAGACATATATGGTACCAATGTTTCTAGCTAACATTTAAGCTAAGTTTTTTTTTTATCGACTACGAGTACATGTGCTGGTTTGAAATTGTTTAGAGACTTCCAATTTAATGCTACACTTGTATTTCTAATCGCAGATATTTGTAAATGACCATCAGATATTCATGTATTATGTCTAATGTAATTACCTTAAAAAGAGAAAAAAAACTTATGTAATTGTATCATAAATAATCTTGATTTGAATTACTGGTAATTCGAGAACAAACCAGACAGCAAACAGTTCGCAGAACATCTGGTGATAGCAGTGAGATAACTTTGATACTCTGCACTCACAATAATAAGCATTAGCGCAATGTTATTGTTACAAATTAAAGTGTGTACACACTCGTTTTAACTTTTTTATCCATAGTTTTAATTGTAATCTAAGTTTACGTATTGTATTTGATTCCTTATTCTTCATAGTTTCTCCATTCACGGGACTTCTTAAAGCTACCGGTTTGAATCATATTCCTCAGGACTTGCAGATTTCCTTACCGTACTCCCTCGATAAAAATACATTCTTGGAAGGTTGGCTTCATGGGCAGGCCTTAAATGAAAACCGACCAAAATCGTCTGTAATTTTGCACTGAACCAAATAAAATTGAGAAAAGGACAAGTAGGTGATAATCGAAGACCTAAGAGCTAAACATCAATTCTTTTTTCTAATATAAATATTTTTGTTTTGAGGATGCTTTCTTTTACCTCTCTACTATTATTAGTATAGGACATATTGTATAAATGTCTATGATATATAAGATTTTTTTAAGGGACCGAAGACTGTCTGAGGAAAAAACTGAACCTGTTCTGTTGTACTAATTACGGTAACAGGTGACCACAATCATTTTGATCATAACCAATCAATACCACGATTACGTCCACACATACACAGCTACTAATACTAAGCTGTTATACCTTATTTCTAGACCAGTAATGTACGAGTATGACGGAACTATCAGTGTGTGTGCGTCTTTATTATCAAGTTCAGTTTGAGTGGCCTCACTAATCAAGTTAGCATTCACAAGTGTGTGTGGTCAATCTGTATTCTTGCCAGTATACAAGTACATTCCCTCACAATGAGTCGTCTAAGCGCCATTGTTTTGATCGCTGTGTTTACACTTTATTTAATCAATATAAATGGCGTAGAAAGCGCGAAATGTTTACAGCATGGCGATGCGGTAAGTACATACTTAAATCTTTGAGTATCTAAGGTATTTGCCATTAACATTTCGCATTAAAGAAATTTTTTGTATAGCCTTGACTATAACTGTGTCTGTGAGCATTTGTAATAAAGATTATGCACTATTATCAGATTAAGTTTGAAGTCTAAATTCCTGGACAAAGAGTTGGTTGTACTCTGAGTTTTCATACCCATTATTATAACTAAAACTAAATACATCCTATGTTACGACTAGCTCTCTAATGTTGTGAGGATTATTAAAATCGGTTTAGTAGTTTATTGACTACAACCCAGCAAATCATCACCGCAATTCACTTCTAAACATGTTTCACTTCAGTGCCCTTACATCATTTTACATTTTAGTACGCTGTATTCTTTATCTTAAAGACTAAGATTTGGAATATTTACTTTGTATTTAAGAAAGATCAATCTTGAATACGACCAATTCAATTAAAAATAATGATTAAAATCACTAATGGCGACAATATCGGTTGACACATACCTACACGAAAAATTTGTTAGGGAGCGTTTTCCTTATTATTCAGAATTAGAAGATTAATTTGACAAAAGATTATAGGGACTGCTCCACACAATACAGTGTTGTTCTATAAAATATATTTACTTCTGCTATGGTTTCCAAAGCACCACATGTAATAAGAGTAACAGAGCGTTCAATCCTAAGGCACAAATTTTTAATTAATAAAATAATAGTTTAAAAAACGAAAAACACGCTTTTTATAGAAAACCAAACTAAACAACAGAAAATAAATTTTAATAAATTTGAAAAAAAAAAGCGTTGGTTCCCTGTTGTCAATAGTAAAAAGCACCATACTCTTTCTTTTTTCAAATTTATTATTAAATTAGTATATTGTCATCGGTGCTCGATATATCTATAAAGTTTGAACGAATTCTGACCGTTTATAGTCAGTCAAAATTACGCCCAAAAGAGTCGGTTACAAGCAAACATACAGGTGAAGCTAATAAAAAGCGTGTAAAAAGAAGTAAATCCTTTATGGATAGTAATTACAATTAAAATAGTAGTAAAGAGTTAGAATTATGAATTTATCAAGTAAGGAAGAGAAAAGTTATTTTAGTAATAGTAAGTTACTACAAATAATTATTATATCATGTTACAGTGCAACAACGACAGTCAGTGCTGTTTCGGTACCAAGTGCCACAGATTTGCCAAGAAATGTCAAGTTCAAATAAACCCTGAGGAGCTCAAGAACCCTCAACTAAAACACAACCCCTGAGAAAACTGACCAGCTCTTCATATTAACGCTTTAAATCTGCTCTTCTATTGTTTAATGCTATCGCAGTAATAAAATATTTTTTTAAAACTCAATGTGTGTTTTTTGTTTAAAGTAAAACTGTGTTGTGGGTCCGATTATGACGGTCCATGAGACGAGACTTTGTGTGACCCACAAATTGTTGTTCTGAGTCTGGGTGTTCTTTGTGTCCGTGTCATGTATGTTTGTAAAGTCCCCCGCGACACAGGATATATTCCTAATGCGAGAGTTGTCTCTTTAAAAAAAAGGTCATCTAAGATGTGAAGGTGATATAAGGATCACTTTATTGTCCGTCCGTCTGTCTGTCGAGACCCTTTATCTCGGGAACGCGTAGAGGTATCGAGTTGAAATTGAAACGATATACTCGAGTCTAGTCTCTTGAAGCTGTGAAAAAATCAAACTTCCAAGTTAACGTAAAAAAAAACGGCTGTTTATGCCGCAAGAAACGTATATTTCAACACTAATATTAAAATTTATAAATTATTTTGGATTGACCTAGAACTATGAAATTTGTCAAGTAATACCGTCTTATATTACAAGTATAGAGAAAAATCTGAAATCTATACATTTTGTGTACCTACAAATTTGTAGGGAACCCGCGGTGGGCGAGTCCGACTCGCACTTGTCCGGTTTTTAATAATTACTGTACTATTGACGCCATAAAATCAGTCACTTAGTAAAACATTACCTAAACTATTAACATATTTACTTATCTGACCCAAAATACCTGCATTTTTAGAATTAAGTTCAACAGAAATGGTGGTTATTTGACCTCGATTTTATGGCACCTAGATGTTTTACATTGCGGCACTTTATCAGATAAAATAGGCATTACCAGTTATTCATCTACCTACCTAAATCCATCGCTATCAGTATTATACATGCGAAAGTGGGTCTGTCTGTCTGTCTGTTACCTCATCATCTGCCTACCCTTTTCCCAATTTTATTTGGGGTCGGCGCAGTATGTATGACTTTTCCATTCTACTCTGTCATGCGTCATCTCACTGTTTACTCCCTTCCTAGCCATATCCTCCCTCACGCAGTCCATCCACCTTTTCTTCGGTCTGCCTCCTCTCTTGTACCCTTCAACTCCCATACCTAAAACAAAACTTTCTTGGCCACATTTTCCTCATCCCTTTGTCTGTCTGTTACCTCTTCACGCTTAAACCGCTAATCCGATGTAGATGAAACTTGGTAAAGCGATAGTTTGAGTCCCGGGAAAGGACACAGTTTATATCCCAGAAATAACCCTTTAAGGTAGTGGAAAGTGGAGGTGGGGGAGTAGAAGTTTGTATGAAAAATCAAGAACCGCTTAACCGATTTTAATGAAATTTGACATGTAGATACTTTGATTCTTGAGGAAGGACATAGGCTACCGCGATAACCGACATACACACAGGTGGAGCCGCAAGCAAAAACTAGTATAGGATATGTCATCATCATCATCATCGACAGCCTTTAATAGACCACTGCTGGACATAAGCCTCTCCTTAGAAAGGAGGTTTTGGCCCACTATACCACGCTGGCCAGACGGGTTGGTATAGGGTTTGTGTCAAGTTTTCCTTCTCTCTGCAGTGCTGTTGTTCTGCGTAGTTTTTTCCCTTAGTCGACTCTTACGACACCCACGAGATGAATAGGGGTGGTGACACTCTGTATTCTTAATCCGTCACCACACGGACCATAGGTATATGTAAGTCAATTTTATTTTAGCGTCTGTTAGCGGTCTCAGATTTACCCGTGGGTCACTTTAAGTTACAGAGATGCGAACCCGGAACTACTCGAAGTATTGCTTACACTTTCAAATATCGTCATAATAATAATAATAACCTTACACGTCACACCGTCTGCTGATACCATCAACCAGACTGTTGATAAACATACTTATATATTTCTAAATATATACATATTATACTCGTAGATAACACCGTGCGTATCACACAATGATTTGTCCTGGGTGGGAATCGTACCCACGACCTCCGGCTTAGCAGTCAGGGTCACTAACCACTGGACCAACAGGCCCGTCAATCGCTGTCCACCACTGCATCCGCATTCCATCCCAATATCCCACTTCTTCCATAGACTTCCTTTCGCCTTCTAATAATACTCCCCATTTTTCTATCTTTAGTTCCAAAGCGCAGAGTTAATTGCCATTTAGCCTATTACCTGAGTAGGACGAAATTTAATATGTCAAATGCGGGATTTTACAAATGTTAATGTGTGTAATCATGTATATTTCCGCGATTAAGCCTTGGTAATTACTGTCATACACATTTTTTTGTACATTTTAGAGAAAGTACCTGTACTACGTGACCCATTTATTATTAAGTACCCCGTTTCTCCCTACCGGGTGACCACTCTCCACTGTCCACCAGGACCACTGTCCTCTTGTTTTCACGTAGTATTTCATAATTAACATAGTTTTAAATATTTATTTTGTAAACTTAAGTTAAAATAAAAATTAATTTGTTTCAAATTTGTTATTATTAATACATTATGCCATTTTTAAATAGAGCTTAAAAAGTACGAGATTTCTTTAGAGGATATTGACTACCTGAGGAAATCCTAAGCCCTTCCCCTTGCCTGTGACCAGGCGTGGTTTTCTAAACTCCTTGAACGGGTCACGTAGCCCACGTTCCCTAATCCATACTTGTATTACAAATGTGAAAGTGAGTTATATATACGCGGGCGAAGCCGCGAGCAAAAGCAAGTATGTAATAATACTGAGTGTCTATGCACTTTGATGCAAAAAATATTTATTATTTCGTAGGCATCTCATCATCATTATCACATCAACAGCCTTCAATACTCCACTGCTGGACATAGGCCTCTCCTTATAAAGGAGGTTTTGGCCTACTATACCACGCTGGCCAGACGGGTTGGTATAGGGTTTGTGTCAAGTTTTCCTTCTCTCTGAAGTGCTGTTGTTCTGCGTAGTTTGCTCCCACTCTGACCTCAGCATCAGTACGGCATCTCAGTAAATACAATTTTTTCCTCCTTCAAAGATAATGTTGCCCATTTCGTCACGCTTCAAGGCCTCTTGGTTTACCACAAACATACAACAGTTGAATAAACTACACACTACCTTGAAGGTATGAATTATTATTAGTCATTCCCGTATTAGGTATATGATTCATTCCCTCACTTCATTTCCTTTGTTTACTTAGTAATGTTGACACCTATGAATGTGAATTTAATGTGGTACGTGGTTCAGTTCTTGCAACTGATTTTTGAACGTAAATATTTTTAAGTAAATTTGTTTTATGGTATAGTATATAGGGTAAAACGAGCAGACAGGTTAGCTGTGACTACCGCCGTCCACGGACTTGACTGCAACTAGACATGAAAATTATAGCTACTTTTAAATCGCAATCATTTGATGATGTGATAGGTTTTCGTCACTGCGATTTTAACTGTGATTGTGATTTGATCGTAGACAAAGATTTTTATCAAAGATAACAACCATTTCTTGTCTCTGTCTGAGTCTGAGTATTAATCAGTCGCAGTGGTTTTGTTTTTTCTTACAAATAATCTAACTTTTTCACTTTTTTTTAGACAACTCCATCGTTAGGAATATATCCTGTGTAGTGGGGGACTTTATAAACATACATGAAATGGACACAAAGAAAACCTAGACTCAGAACAACAATTTGTGGATCACAAATAGGAAATCGTAAAAAAACATTTTAAAAATCCGCCATTTTAATATTAAGAAGAATTTAAAAAACCTACATCTTTCTGTTATCTTCATAAAGTACAGTCGTTTCTTAAGCTTTATAAAACAAATATGATTTCACTTTCGATCACGTGACCAGTCTGTTCGTCTCCCCCCCCCCCCCCCCACTAACAAAAAAAAACACATTTGTAGTTTAACTTTGTCCTTACATAAATATAATTAAAATACTTCCCAAAAGCCGACGAGCTCGAAGAGCTACCTACGTAAATAACATAACAATATTAAAGAACAATACCTAATATTGTATATTAGTTTAAAAGGCACTGCAGTATTTTCTAAGCAGTACATAGGTACGTTTTTAGAACCGTTGTAATAACACGTAAACATATTAGGTACCTATACCTTAGTAGCTTTGTTTTAATGTCGTTTTCAGTAATAAATGAATGTTTTGACTAATAATAACAGTAAAATACTAATTAATTAACGAAACCTTTTGTAGCCAAAATGGTGAAAACGGAACCCTTTTAATTTAGTCATATCCGCCCGTCTGTTCACACTTATATTTCACAGGCTGTTGATGATGGTAATATTGAATTGGCCCACATGAATTGTAACACAAGTTTTGAGTCAGACTATTGAATAATACCAGCCGCAACTTTCCGCCATCGTTCCACACGGCAAAAATTTTATCCTCATCACCTGGATAGTTGGCGCTCCACTACTGTGCGTTTTTCGTGACACTTTTTGCCCCGCACAACCAATCTGTTATCGTCTGCGGTATTTCCGGACCGATACGACCTTCAAACCTTTAAGAAAAGAGCGTACTCCTTCCTAAAAGGCCGGCAACGCGTTTGTGACTCCTGAGTTGCAGTCGTTAATGGGCGGCCATGGCGATTCCATCAGGTGATATTATTATTTTTATGATATGAGGGGGTAGAGCAGACCTCTACCCCCTCATATCATAAAAATAATAATAATACCAAGTATGTCTTTTTTCTCAGGTTTTTTATTTGACAAATAAAAACGAACTATAACGTTTACCGAAAGATATTTATTTCAAGGAACATAACAATCTATTTTCTTAACAATTCATAAGGTTTTTTTTATTTTCACACCAATTCATAAAATATAAGTACATTACAATTTCATAAATTCACATTTACAAATTACATTATAACACAAAACAATTCCGTTTGTAATTAATGATTTACAATTTGTACATCTGTGTATTTCAAGATCCGCGAATAGTTTCGGACTCGTCTGGGGCTCTTTATCACGAAGTAAAGCGGCCTATCTTGATGATCTCAACCTTTGGATGAAACTCTAGTCGGGTGTCTAATATAACATGACTATTAGGGGGTCATCCATAAATTACGTCACACGAATTTCTCCATCTCCGACCTTGTCTCGGCTGGTTATATGTATGAGACTCCCCCCTCGTAATAATTTAAAACAACATTTTCGACATTTTTGTTATATTTCCATTTAAAAGTTAAAAATCCAGTCAATAAAAACAATAAAATAAAATGGTGACATCATTTGTGTATGACCCCTCAAAATGTCAGCAATTCAACATCCACTCCTGAACTAGGACTGGACTGGCATAAACTGGATACAATATAACATTTCAAAATTACAATTTAACAAATCAATGTATACCTTTCCGTTATAAAAATCGGTGAAATCGTGTAAAAGCATGTTTGGTGGACTACTTCTCTTAACAGTCTGACTTCTGTCAATAAATAAAAGAAGAATAGGTATGTGTGAGTGATGGGGCAATTCCTGTAAGGTCACATATAAAATCAATTTTATTTAATAATATGTATTGAAGGCGCCTTCTGAATCTTAGTATGTACTTAGAACCTTTACGCTTATGAAAGAAGTTCGCAGACATGTATTTTCTCATTATTTTATTTTGTACATTATTTATATGTTTAAAATATATGTACTTAAAATAGTTGCATCATTGTATAAAAACAAACGTTAAAATTTGAAGTAATAAAATGAACACATAAATTGTACACAAGTTGTACAGACAGTTAAAAAATATATTTTCTGTGTACATTTGATATAAAAAAATCTTTATCGGCGTGTGTATACACATTAGTTTTTTTTTTTAATTTCTTTAAACATTAATGCCTAGTTTTTTGTGCAAAGGTTGTCTTTAATGTTTTTTAATTCTTCTTTCTTATTTATTTATAACTCAGTAAAAAAATAAATTATGTGTATTATCCATTCTTTGTAAAAAAAACTTGTTTTTAAATACTTTTTTATAAAATAGTTTTTTGTCTCTACTGAAAAGTTTACGAGTTTTACACATTTAATACCCCTCTAGTAGAATCGATAATTATTGCACTGCAAACTTATCGATATTCGAGTTCGATTATCGATAGTTCAGCATCCCTAGTAATAGGTGTGTCCATCACTGAGCTGTGACAAGGATTGATTATCGTATTATGTGAAGATTTAATTTGCGACTGCACGGATGGCGTAGTGGTTTAAGCGATCGCCACGCCGCTTCCTACTACGCCGAGTGTTGTGGGTTCAAACCCCACATGGGACGACACTTTGTGTGATCCACAAATTGTTGTTCTGAGTCTGGGTGTTCTTTGTGTCCGTTTCATGTATGTTTGTAAAGTCCCCCGCGACACAGGATTTATTCCTAGTGCGGGAGGTCTTTGTCATTTGTCACTAGCAACACAAACAGTTTTCTCTACATTATTAGGTATAGGCACAAACATTCATGACTTTCAATCCATTTTTTCCCCCATGGGATCCTTTAGTTGCTTTTCCAACCAAATTATTCCTCTAATTTTAGAGGAGGAGGGGGGGGGGGGGGGGGGGGTGGCAGATGGGAGACACTCAAAAAGTGGTAACGCACTTACACCTCTTGAGTTGCGGCTGTTCACGGGCGTTGGTAATCACTCACCATCAGGTGACACGGCTGCACCCCCTACACCCTCTACATAAAATGATTTGAATATGAATTATAAACAATTACACACTAAATGTACTAAATGCGTGTTTAACTAGATCCTCTATCCCTTTCTTAAAAACATCATAAACTTAAAATATATTTACTTTGTTCGTGAATTAAATGACACGTAGTGCATATCATAATTATACATTTAATCAAAATGCTTTGTTTACTTTATCTTATTGATTATTGAGCTTTTTTTTTCAGCTTTATATTTGTTCATAGATATTAGACAGTAGACTACAGTAGGAATTTTGTTATTAAAATTTTTACATCTTTACATAGGTTTTTATCATTTAATAAATCTATGTTTTAACCTTACCTTATTACCTCAAACTACCCACTTTTACAAAACAATTCGTGCAACCCTTATTTATAATAGCGCTTTTCGCTTAAAAAGCTCTTATAAAAACAACATTCCCTTATTTACATAAATATTAATCTTTTTGCATTTATCGCAATGATATTACATTTCAATAGCATATTTCTAAACTTAGTTAATGTGCACTTAATTACATACGTATTATATTTACATAATTATAGAACATTCTAGCAACATTTTTCTCGGCCTTTAAGGCGCGATGTCAATAATAAATAAAATTAATTTCTTTTAACTGCCGGCCCAAGACTATATATTAAATCTACATATAAATTTATAAGATAAGACAGCATCAACTTTTCGAGTAACGAAATAATTAAAAAACCGTAAAATCGGACACCTCACCTACGTTCTGACAGACAACACTAGCGTCGCGGGCGCTCATTGGTCAAATCAAATAGCACGCGCTTCCTGTTACACATGTCCGTTGCTTTTGAGGTAATCACTCGCATAGATTGCTTTAAAGTGAGAGGAAAGATGTAACGCGTCTCGTCGTACCATTTTTGTTACATTAATGCCAATAAATTCATTTTATTGTGAAAATATATATTTGATTTATAAATGATTTGTCATAAGATATTAGATGTCAATGATATTAGGTACTTTTTAAGTTACTTTAAGCTATAATAAAATACCTGCTTTCTTGAAATTAATTTGTTCTTTCCACTTTTTTGACATTTTTTCAACTTGACGTACTAAAATCGCTAAGCGTGAAATCTTACTGAGCGGTCCATTGCTCATTTGTGGTGTGAATACAATATATACCCTTATTCCATTAAGGTATCTAAATACAAAAAAGTACTTGTTAAGTTAAAATTTAAAATTGAAATAAAGATCGATACACACAGATAACATTCCTAAACAGAGAAGGGAAGATTTATTATTAAACATTAAAGAATATTCAGATTTACGTAAAAAACCTTAAATAATACCCCCTTAAAGATGAAAAAAGAAAATGATTTTCGGATGAATCAAATTTGGTACATCCGTTTAAGAGGCATACTGCCCTAGATACACAGAAAGTTTATAAATAAATGCAATAGAAAGGAAAATTATTTTCTAAAAAAAAAGAAATCTCATTAGATTTTTCAGTCTATATTAACTTTAATATAACTACACGTTTCTATATCACGTCATAAATACAGCCTTGGCCAAAAGTATTAGGCACCCCAGAAAAATGCACAATTCATGTTTACTGATTGAACAATGAATAAATGCTTATCTTAGATTTCATGCCGGGGTCACAAATAACTTCCTAGAAAAGCAAGCAGCTATCTTTTATGGTCATAAAACACCTGGTGACTTGAACCCAATTGAACATCTTTAGAGCATTTTGAAGCGCAAGATTAAAGAGCATAGTATCACATCGAAAACGGCATTAAAAATGCGTTAGTACAAGAATGGCATGCCATTACAAGGGAGGATTGTACTATGCTTGTACGCAGCATGCCAGCTAGAATTAGTGCAGTAATTAAATCCAAAGGTGGACCAACTAGATTTTAAATTTTTCATTCCTTTTTGTTAATTTTAATTTTAATGTTAATAAATAAATTCAAAAAGTAAAAGTTGTTTTTTTCCTTTATTTTAAGTAAAATGTAGGGTGCCTAATACTTTTGGCCAAGGCTGTATATATTTCTATGCTACTCTAACTTAACTCTCATCAAATAACCCTGTCACTAAGCAGCATTATGGAATCATCACTTAACTAGCTCCTCTATACTCGACTAGTGAACGGTGACGTAATACCGGTGTCAGATAGTCCTGTGACGTCATTGTTGTCTATGTGATGAGGAAGGCTGGCTCGCATTTGCAGTCGTCATCATTTTTCACCTGCAATTTAAGATAATAATAATTTGAAACTGAACCCAAACCAAGCGGAGCCTGTACTAACTCAGACTCAGACTTAACCATAGATTATTTGTCCGTGTGGTGACGGATTAAGAATACAGAGTGTCACCACCCCTATTCATCCCGTGGGTGTCGTAAGAGCCGACTAAGGGAAAAAACTACGCAGGACAACAGCACTGCAGAGAGAAGGAAAACTTGACACAATCCCTATACCAACCCGTCTGGCCAGCGTGGTATAGTAGGCCAAAACCTCCTTTCTAAGGAGAGGCTTATGTCCAGCAGTGGACTATTAAAGGCTGTTGATGATGATGATGATGATAGATTATTTAGATGACAAATTTGCTTGGGATTGATGCTGCTCACTCCCACATTTGAAAGTGATGAACATTTAATTTTTTGTTGTAATTCGTATTCCGTTTGTTTTCAATTTGTTTATTTGAAATTGAATTGTATAGTTTTGTTTGTGTTGTGTAAATGTGAGTATAGTGTAGGCTTGTAATGTTAGTTCATATTTTAGTAATTTTCTGGTGGTTTTGAATGTCTCCACGGCCCACTCAAGTGTCTTGCAGGCGGTAGTGTCGTGTTCCGGGTTGTTGATCCTGACTATATCGGTTAGGCTATACAATGGCTGGGGCTCGTATACCGTCTGTATGGACGGGACTCAATACTATGGTCCTTTCTTCAAAAGTCCAACCCAGACCCTATACTGCACTCACATGACACACATGACACCTCTGTGGTTTGCTTCTTCTTAGAGCGAGTCTTAGGAAATGCTGGAGTCTTCTATATGTAAAGTTCGCGTTAAGAAAGTAATGACGCAACTATCAAGCTCCGCCCCCTAACCAATCAGGTTTCACGATATAATCGTTTCGTACCAAAGCTTGGAACCTGTTTTTTTTTTAAATTGGTCAGGGTTTGGGACTTGATCGATGATTGATTTTTTTTTAAAGTCAACTCCCGCATTAGGAATATATCCTGTGTCGCTGGGGACTTTACAAACATACATGAAACGGACACAAAGAACACCCAGACTCAGAACAACAATTTGTGGATCACACAAAGTGTCGTCCCATGTGGGGTTTGAAAACACAACACTCGGCGTAGTAGGAAGCGGCGTGGCGACCGCTTAAACCACTACGCCATCTGTGCAGTCTATATATACATGTTATAGATGAATGAAATGGAACGACACCCAGAACTCGGATACAGGTCTTTTTCTGTTTGAAAAATCCTCGTATACATCCCTTATATACAGCCCATTACTTCTTTTTTTCAAAACCTAGCAGAAAGCTAGAAGGGAAATAAGGCTAACTTACCATAAGAAAGTGATGTGGAGTGAGATCTTCAGCTTTAGGCCTAACCTCCGAGTCGTGGGTTAGACACTGCATGCAGAACCGTTGGCCTTCCTCCGACAGAGTGGAGGGGATCTCTGGACGACCACCACTTCCTACCAGGAACATGATTTGGAAGTTGCTGTCGTATTGGTAGAATGGACGCTAGAATCAAAGAAAGCCATCATGAATAATATAATTTAAAACACATCCAACTAAAGATCAGAAAGAGATTTTTGAAGTGAAAACTTCTTTAGGCACGTTGGGCATTTTTGAGCAACAAACAAGAGAATGTATTTTTTGAGATTTGAAAAAACCTATGAACTCTCGACACCGTTACTGTTACCGACACCTTTGTATATAAGTATTTATTTATATTTGCCCCGTTTACACGAGAGTTGAGTTTGGATTAAAACACATTGATGATATAACTATATATAATATAAACATGATTATGTTGTGTATTTACATACAACATCCATGTCAGAACTTTTCAAATTATTTTTCCTGATATAAACAAAAAAAAAAAAACAAGTTTTCAATTATGTCAGCACTCCCAGCATGCCTTTGTTTTTTTTAAACGTAGTTAAGAATATTCTCAACCAGGTTACCTTTTGAACAAAAAAAATCAAATACAGTTTCTATAGTACAGGGGGGAGAGGTGGGGGAACGCGCAGATGGGTGTGTGTGACACCTAATGTAAAGTGACTACCGCCCATGGACACCTGCAACTTGAGAGTGGCGACTGCGTAGCCTCTTTTCGAGGTCCTTCTCCCCCTAAACTAGGCAGAGAGGGGGTTGCTGATAGACATACTTATATATTTCTAAATAAATACATATAACAGATAAATTACACCTATTATATTTTTTACCGTGGGAGAGCCATGCTTCGGCAGGAATGGGCCGGCTCGAACGGAGTGATACCGCGGCCGCACAGAAAACCGGTGTTAAGCAATTCTTTCGTTGCCTTTCACTGAGTGAGCGAGGTTGCCGGAGCCCAAATCCCCCCTCCCGCTGACACTCGAGCGGGAGGGACTCCAAGGGCAGGTTGCTGCCTTGTTTGTTGCACTTGTGACTTTTGAGTTGCAGGTGTCCATGCGATAGTTGCTTACCATCAGGTGACCTGTCTGCTCGTTTACCCCCTTATACCATAAAAAAAACCTATACACAGAAGAAATGATCGTGCTCACCACACAATAGTTGTCCTGGGTTTGAATCGAACCCACGACCTCCGGCAGTGTCAGGTGTATTATAGTTGCAATCGTTTTAATTTCTTGTTGTTTAATTATCAAGTCCACATGAGTTCACTTACTTTGCCCGATGCCATTTCAGTGACAACACAGCCCAAGGACCAGATGTCAGCCGCTCGTCCGTGGCCTGACGACTTCATGAACACTTCCGGGGCCATGTACGCTGGAACAATAACAAATATTAACGTTCAGAGCCTGTGGAGCTGAAGTATTCCATATTATGTGAACTGATTTTCATATTTAATAGGTTGGTTCGATTTTCTGAATGGATACACTTAGTGATAGAGGTATATTAATCATCATCATCAACAGCCTTTAACAGTCCACTGCTGGACATAAGCCTCTCCTTAGAAAGGAGGTTTTGGCCTACTATACCACGCTGGCCATACGGGTTGGTATAGGGTTTGTTTCAAGTTTTCCTTCTCTTTGCAGTGCTGTTGTCATGCGTAGTTTTCTCCCTTAGTCGGCTCTTACGCCACCCACGGGATGAATAGGGGTGGTGATACTCTGTATTCTTAATCCGTCACCACACGAACAAGGTATATTAAACGACAATTATTTATATTTGTTAATATTGTTTCTCTCTGTGTGAGTACCAAATAAATATCAGGTTCTTTCTTTTTTCTATCACCTCTTATGGTGGTAAATTAGAGGTTGTAGAAACCAGTTTAAGAAGTTTTTATTTGATTTGTAGTATAGTGTGTTTTACCTTGTGTGCCAACGAACCCTTGCAGCTCGCCGGGCGCGGTGGTGTTGGCGCGGATCTTGACGGCGCAGCCGAAGTCACCCAGCTTCAGGCAGTGGCCCTCGTTCGTCAGGAATATGTTACCACCTGAGTGATTATAAATTACTATTATTATTTCTTATATTTTATTTCTTTGTATTTACAAAACCATAAATACTTTGTTTCGACTTTCGTGGATGGAAATGGTAAAAAAATACGTATTGTATCATATTTAAAAATTTGCTTTTTAAAATGTTTGATATTAATAATAATAATGTTGAATATTGATTTTATATAAGAGATATATATTTTAAATTATTGAAAAAAGCAATCTGGAGTGAATTTTAAATGTTCTTTGATTTTCGGAATTTAAGGCACTGTGAGTAGTCGTATCAATTTTTTTTTTTACTTGTTATATTTACTTAAGTGAGATGAATAAAATGAGGGCGGAACGAAGTTCCTTTCGCTTTTGGAAGACGTTTACTATCATCATCATCAACAGTCCACTGCTGGACATAGGCCTCTCCTTAGAAAGGAGGTTTGGCCTACTATACCACGCTGGCCAGACGGGTTGGTATAGGGTTTGTGTCAAGTTTTCCCTCTCTCTGTTTAACTTTACGTTTACTATAGTGTCGGAAAAAAAGTCTCGTTACACATTTTTCGGCCTAGCTCCCATCCGCTTAGAGCGTGTAACGCGCAATAAGGAATTTCGTTCTAAAATTAAACGTGTAAATCGGCGCGGGAGTGTGACATTTAGTAGACTATGTTTGACAATAGATAAATGCGATTATTAGCTGATAAATGTTTTCATTTTTAATAATTATATAATAATAGGCTTGTGTCCACTAATAACAAATTGTTTGGTTTATAGTTTCAAATTATAGATGAAGGGACATAGATAAGAAAAAAACAGTCCATTTCTCATAAAAGTTAAATATTATCAATATTTAAAAAAAAAAAATGGACAAAATAGGCATTAAGTCACGTGACAGCGAACACCAATCAGAAAGTGTTACGTTACGCCACGCAAAACATCATTGTTGGCGTTTTCATACAACAGAGCAGGTTTATTACGCAGACTGTGACGTCATTCAAGACGCCCTGACACTATTCAGCGTTTTCAGGGGAAATTTAAATTGTTTTTTCTTTTTTAAATACAAAATAGATATTCAAGTATATAATTAATCATTTTTTTTAAATTTAGTCAACTAGCCTATTGCAGGATCTATACTAATATAAGAAACGGTGAAGTAATTTCAGGTTAAGATATTTGGGAATGAAGCACGATCATGATCAGGGCTGAGACAGAGGTGGACGAGCAGGGTGGGGGTGCACTGACTCTTGATGTCGCGGTGCGCGATGCTCCTTGCGTGCAGCTCGGCGACGGCGGAGACGAGCTGCTTGCTGTAGCGCCGCACCGTGGGCTCGGCCAGCGCGCCCGCCGTCGCCACCAGCGCCTCCAGCGAGCCCTCCACGCACAGCTCCATGAAGATCAGCATCTCCTCCTGCGCGCACATATATTAGCCTTCGATCATACAGAAAATTAAGTACCAACCCCGACGCATCGGCTTTTAATAGTCCACTATTGATAACAAACGTTTTTTTTTATATCACACATCTCACACACGGCCGTCTGATCCCAAACTAGGCAGAGCCTGTACTATTGTAACCAGACTGCTGATAAACATTTTTTTTTTTAAATACATGTAATACATATTATAGATAAATTACATCCAGACACAGAACAAATGACCGTGCTCATCACACATTATTTGTCTTGGGTGGGAATCGCCTTCACGACCTCCGGTTTAGCAGTCAGGGTCACTAACCACTAGACCAACAGGCCCGTCGAGGTTTCTATACGTTGATGGGGTAGGGATCTGGTGATTAATAACACAAGCATACCATGCCTATCACAGACACCCAGCTCATACACCCAATAAAGTAACTAGCTATAAGTATACCGTCATCGGGAAACATAAATCAATATTAATATTAAGAAGTTTTATATTAATAAGATGGAATCTGTGATCAAATTAACCCCATTAATCTATGAGTGGAATTCGAACCCACGACCAATGGCTAACACGAGCAGCCATAAACACTAGAAAGATAGATAGATAGGTACTCTTTACTGCACACCGTAGATAAAAAACATACAATGCAATATAAACATAAAATTAAAAAAAAAACAGTGGTACAATGGGCGGCCTTATCGCAGTCTGCGATCTCTTACAGGCAACCTTTAGATGAACTATACTGTATAGTGATATGTAGTCTGTGGTGCGCATAATATGGATTTACATAAATACAAATTCATACACATACATACATTCATATAAATATATAATACATATACATACATAACACATAGTTCTCACAGATCTCAAAGTGAATAATACAAAGTGGCGTACCCTGTGCAGCTCACAGCCGTAGTACCGCACGAGGTGCGGGTGCAGCACGCCCTCCAGCACGCGCAGCTCGTTGGCGGCGCGCTGCAGCGCGCGGCGGTCACCCGCACCCACCGACAGCTCCTTCATGGCCAGCAGCTGTCCGCTCTCCGTGTTCACTATTGTATACACCTGTAACATACAGCTTCAAGTGTAAAGAGATGATGCACTAGGTTCAAAAGTAAAATTAAAGTAATTTTTTTTTATTTTATTTATAACTTTATGTAGGGACTTAAAGCCGTGGGCTTTCTCTAACAACCAACCTACGGGGTAGCCTAGTAATTTTGTAAGGTAAACGAATTGAGGTTACAGTTGTTATCGGTGATGTTTGTTATTCATAAATTACGTAATTCGTTAAGGGGAGAGAGATTCTTTATTTTTTTAATTTCATATGAGAATCTACATTTGACAAGTAATCAAATTTTAAATATTTAGAAATAAAATGCTGATATCTATAATACAATTATCAAATATTATGAAATTTATAGTCATATGCGAAAATAGACAAGCTTTATTAAAGTTTTACTCATCTCTAGATAGAACATTCCATTAAGTTGAAAAACAGCGTGAGGGGTCTATGGACCCCCGGTCGGAACAAAGTTCCTTTCGTATTTTTGTAGACGTTTGCTATAGTGTTGAAAAAAGTCTCGTAACACATTTTTCGGTCTCGCTCTCACCTGCTCGTAGCGTGTATCGTGTAACTTCGTTCCAAAACCATCCTAACAATGAATTGTCTGTTTTACAGTGAGTTATATAGAGTGTCGGTCTGACCTTCCCGAAGCTGCCGGCGCCGATCTTGAGGCCGCGCTGCCACTTGAAGGAGAGCTGGCGCAGCTTGGGCTCGTAGCACACGGCGGCGGGCAGCACGCGCCCCACGCTCTTGGCGCTGCGCAGGCGCGCGTCGCGCCCCGCGTCCACCGCGCGGATCGCGCCCAGCACGCGCCCCGCGCGACCTGCGCACACACACAGACCTTGACACACTACGATATTGCGATATATTCATTCAATTTAAAAAAACCCAAGACACACATCTTGGATTTGAAATTTGTCATAGTGTATAGTATTCTACTAGACGAGCCCTTTCATTTGATACCCATACTGAGGGAGTTGTGAAAAAATATGTAATCCGCCATTTCGTGGCGGCGGCCATCTTGGGCCGATTTTCATCGAACATAGCTAAGAACACTCCCGACTATTTCACCGTCCAAACAAAAAAAAACCAAAATCAAAATCGATTCACTCATTCGGGAGCTACGACGCCACAGACAGACACGTCAAACTTATCCCGTACCACCGTTTTTGCGTCGGGAGTTAAAAATAAGTAACGCTCAAAATTTTAATAAATGAGTTTGTTTCAAGTTTTCCTCCTTGAAAAGGGGGAACCCATTCCTCCCTTAAGGTCTAAAAGTAGTCAACGGTCCCCGAAATACACATGAATGAAACCGTTTATCTATACTAATATTATAAAGCTGAAGAGTTTGTTTGTTTGTTTGAAATTCGCGCAAATCTCAGGAACTACTGGTCCGATTTGAAAAATTATTTCAGTGTTAGATAGCCCATTTATCGAGGAAGGCTATAGGCTATATATCATCAAGTTAAGAGCAATAGGAGCGGAGCACCAATGAAGAATGTTTCAAAAACGGAGAAAATTTATTACTATTGAGAGACGCAGACGAAGTTGCGCGGGTCAGCTAGTATTTAATAAAATTATACTTACAAAAGTTTTTATAGCAATAATATTAATGGATATAATGTATTGGAATGTTAAACATAAAATGTACCTGTCATAGCAGCTTTGAAGTTTTCGTGTAATGTTTCAGAATCCGGGAACTGTGTGTTAGAGTAGGGTTGTTCACTTTCGGCTGGCGGAGGGGTGGACGGTGTCACCACCTCTCTTGATGAACTGTTGCTTGAGAATGGACTCTGAGAATTTGTGAAAACAACTTATTACTTAGTAATATATATTTATGGTACTATACAATTTGACTGAAAACAGAAAACTAATTTATTAAAATGTTATTTAGTCGATAAATGAAAAACATTGGACCGGCATTTTGGTCATCTGTTATGACGTCACTTGGGTAGTAAATTTTAGTAGTTTAGCTATATTACTAATTCAGATAATAGGCGATAAGTTTTAAAGGAGTTTAACGAAAGTTCTTGAATTATATAAAATACATGTTTTGGCACAGAGGACAAACGAGTAGATGCCCCACCTCCTCCCCCCAGAAACAAATGGAGGAGAGGTTTGGGCTTCGGTAACTTTGCTCAATCGATGGAGATGAACAAGGGTTTTCTGTGAGGTCGTGTTGTAACACTCCGATCAAGCCGGCCCATTAGTGGCGAAGCATAGTTCTATCACGGTTAAAACATACATCATCATCATCTGCCTACCCTTTTCCCAATTTTATTTGGGGTCGGCGCAGTATGTATGATTTTTCCTTTCTACTCTGTCATGCGTCATCTCACTGTTTACTCCCTTCCTAGCCATATCCTCCCTCACGCAGTCCATCCCACCTTTTCTTCGGTCTGCCTCTTCTCTTGTACCCTTCAACTCCCATACCTAAAACTTTCTTCGCCACATTTTCCTCATCCCTCCGAATGACATGTCCATACCAAGATAACCTATCACTTCTTAACTTTTCATCCAGTGGCGCTACTTTCAGACCCCCTCGTATATACTCATTCCTAACCTTGTCCATCTGAGTCACACCACACATCCATCTCAGCATTCGCATTTCGGCTACGTTCAGGCGTCTCTCATCCGTTAAAACATATACATACATCATTAAAAACAATGGCAGGCATGTATGGGACTTTTGGACCGCCTTGCGTATCTCATGGTAGGGATTATAGTTCTTATTTGGCTGGCAACATCATCAAAAATTACAATTTTTTATTAAAAGATTTTTAATACCCTCTGTTTATATTTATAATTTTTTTTCTATAAAGATAACTCCCGCATTAGGAATATATCCTGTGTTGCGGGGGACTTTACAAACATACATGTAACGGACACAAAGAACACCCAGACTCAGAACAACAATTTGTGGATCACACAAAGTGTCGTCACATGTGGGGTTTGAACCCACAACACTCGGCGCAGTAGGAAGCGGCTTGGCGACCGCTTAAACCACTACGCCATCCGTGCAGTCTCAGCAAATATCGATGTAAACATATCGTTTATTTTGTAATTTATATTTTATGCATCGCAAGTTTACAAAACGTAGGAATGCGTTTTATTAACAACACTTGAACGTTTAGTTATTGCGGTTGTAACAACTTTTGAGAAGAATTCCTATTCTTTTAGTAAAGTTTTAAAAATATGAAAATTTAAAAATGGTAAATAGTACAAACGTCACAAGTCTCATAACCATCCATCATATATCACCAGGTGTACAGGAACCACCATTCCTCTTTCTTGTTGTGGTGAAAAAAACTATATTGTTAGATAGGTAATATAAAGTATTAAATGATATTTAACACAGAAATGAGTGATCACTTACAGGCAGGCGGGGCCGGGGGCGCGGGGAGTGCGCGGCGGAGAGCGGGGAGGGGCGCGACCCCACCACGTGGGAGATGCACCCGTCCATCAGGGTTTTTAACTCCTGCAGGGGACAAACACAAATTATATTATTATTGAATTTGTCATTAATCTGAATACTTGGTGGCAACCCTTACTCTTAAGTTAGGGCTGCCACAGGTAATGGTATTAAAAGCAATTACTTCGTTAGATGTCCGAAAATATGAAAACTGATAATTTTGAAGGACTGATAATGGTTTTGTACATTTATTATACTAGATTTTGCCCGCGACTTGACCCGAGTTAATGCCGACATTGTCAGTTTGACAACCCTAATTCAGTGATCATTACACCACCAAAAACGTGCACAGGTGATAACGGAGTGTAATTAATTCTAATATTATAAAGCTGAAGCTGAGTTTGTTTGTTTGAACGCGCTAATCTCAGGAACTACTGGTCCGATTTGAAAAATTCTTTCAGTGTTAGATAGCCCATTTATCGAGGAAGGCTATAGATTATATATCATCACGCTAAGACCAATAGGAGCGGAGCACCAATGAAGAATGTTTCAAAAACGGAGAAAATTTATTACTATTGAGAGACGCAGACGAAGTTGCGCGGGTCAGCTAGTTAATAATATAGAAATGAATAGTATGTACCTCGAACTCTTCATCACTAAGATGCTTCGTGTTGCGTGGATCGCAGGCCAGCATGAGGAACTCCAGGCCTTGACTCGCCCATCTGTTTATAAACTAAATCTTTAGCCAACTTCGAAAACAAAAAAGATAATTCAATGGAACTGAAATATTTTAAATTCTTTTTGGAACGAAGTTCCTTATCGCGCATTGTGAAAGGGGGCTAGACGGAAAAAAATCTCACGAAAAGTTGTAACGACACTTTTTATGTCAGTCATTCAGCGCCATCTATCGAATAGATAGGAAATCATTTCTCAAGGAGATTTTACCAATGTATAAATTGTTTTAATTAGAAAACAACTGAAAAATATGTAGGTAATAGCCGCTTTCATAGATGGCGTTGTAATTAAAATCGTGTCGAATCAGTTTTACTCGATCGTCACAACTTCGTTCCTATCGGGTGTCCTTCGACACCACACGGCTTTTTTTTAATATAGTGGCAAACGAATACACGGTTCACTTGGGGGTCTAGTGTGAACCTGCGACTGTGATTGGCCCGCACTGAATTCTTCACCAATCGCAACGTCAGACGCGGTCACAGTGACGATCGTATTGATGTGAAATAAACTCTCGGTGGCCCTCTGATGGTAAGTGATTTCCTCCACCTATGGACACAAACGATACAAGTGACTTGAATCCCCACTTGAGCGGACTCTCTCCCATACATACATGGCCTGGTATTGAGCTTCACAATGTACTCTTTTATATTACTGCACTAATTTGAAAATATATAATATAATAATAATATAATATATTTTACCACATTCACACAACGCCATCTAGTCCCAAACTAAGCAGAGTTTGTACTATGGGTACTAGACAACTGATATAAATACATTTCTACTTTTTTTTGTAAATACATACATATTATACTTAGAAACACCCAGACCAAATCAAACATTAAATGTTCATGCACACAAATGTTTGACTCGAGCGGGAATCGAACCCGCGACCTTTGGAATAGCAGTCCGTTACACAAACAACTATGCCATCCGGTCGTCTGGCCAAATAAAAGTAAACTGAAATATTTAAATTGATTAAATAAAGAAACAACTAGAAACGATCCATTTTTACCTGGGTCGGAGTCCCCGGCCTCTATCACACCGTTCGACAACAAAACTCATCCAGCAGCGCGCGAACTGTATGACTGCGCGGGCCACCCGCGCGGCCCACGCTCGCTCCTCGCTCAGCGCCACCTCCGACCCAGCTCCAACCGCTCCAGGTCGAAGCTCTACCACCTCTTCAGCGGGCGTCGCCTCGCCTGACAGCAGCAGTTCGATGCTGTTCTGGCTCTGGAAACATATGGCACGATTACTAACGCACTTGTGTATTTCTGATTCATTAATAAATCTTTATTTTAAAGACAACTATATTCCTAGTGCAATCATTCATGAAACGGATACATGGAACACGCAGACTCAGAATTACAATTTATAGATTTATAAAATGTTATCCCATGTGGGGATCGAACCCACAATACGAAGCGCAGTATGGAGCTGACGAAGACCACTTAAACCACTACGACATGCAAAGAGAAGGAAAACTTGACACAAATCCTATACCAACCCGTCTGGCCAGCGTGGTATAGTAGACCAAATCCTCCTTTCTAAGGAGAGGCCTATGTCTAGCAGTGGACTAGTAGAGGTTGTTGATGATGATGAACAAATGAAAAAAAAAACATTTTTATAAAGTATAATATTTGTACTCTCTATGTGTATAAATGAAGGACTCGGGTTTTTTGGGACCGTCAGGAGTCCTTCATCAACGAGCAAAACGATATGTTGTGTTACTGTAAGCCTAGTATCATATCTGTTGGTGTAGTGGTTAGTGATCCTGACCCAGGACAAATATTGTGTGATGAGCACGGTCATTTGTTCTGTGTCTGGGTGTAATTTGTCTATAATATGTATGTATTTAGAAATATATAAGTACGTTCTGGTTCTAATCTTTGCTACTAAATCAGGTCATGCTTGTGACTGAATCACGAACATGTCTGGTTAAGTAAATGAAATCTTGCAAAAACAAAAGTTTAAGACCCACACAAGCCACGCACGTTTCACTCCTTGAAAAAGGGGGCCCCTTTTCCCCCTTCAGGTCTGAAAATAGTCAACCATCCCTTCAAATACACATGAATAAAACCGTTTATATTTAATAAAATTGTACTTACAAACGTTTTTATAGCAATAATTTTAAGTAAGTATGTTTATCAGCAGTCTGGTTACTATAGTACAGGCTCTGCCTAGTTTGGGATCAGACGGCCGTGTGTGAGATGTGTAATGTATTATTATTATTCATCAATCATCATCAACAGCCTATACTAGTCCACTGCTGGGCATAGGCCTCTCCTTAGAAAGGAGGTATTGGCCTAATATACCACGCTGGCCAGACGGGTTGGTATAGGGTTTGTTTCAAGTTTTCCTTCTCTTTGCAGTGCTGTTGTCCTGCTTAGTTTGCTCCCATAGTCGGCTCTTACGACACCCACGGGATGAATTGGGGTAGTGACATTTTGTATTCTTAATCCGTCACCACACGGACAATAGGACGGATTATTATTATAATCTGGCTATTTTTAACCGACTTCAAAAAAAGGAGGAGGTTCTCAATTCGACTGTTTTTTTTTTATGTTTGTTACCTCAGAACTTTTGACTAGGTGAACCGATTTTGATGATTCTTTTTTTTTAAATAACACAAGTTTATGTTACACTTACCTGCCTTTCACCAAAATGATGAATATTATCAAAGAGCCTTTCATCAAAGACGTTGTTCTCGAACTCGTCCGCAATACTCTCGGAGCGCATGAACTTGGGTTTACGGTCTGTCTTCGTGTTGGGGGGAGGTTTCCGCGGCGCCGTGGACTGTCGACGAGGAGGAGGGGTCGGACGGGTGTTGACTTCGTTCACGAAGCGATGCAATTCTTTGTGCAACTATACGTAAAACAAAATATGCGTTGTATTTATGATATATTCATATTACATTGTATAAGAATTGGGACAACGTGGTTTTAAGGAATTAAGTATATATATATATATTTGTAAGCGCTTAAAAATTTTTTTTTTAAATAGGTATACATAACAGAAAAAAAACTTAATATAAACTTGCTTTAAATAAAAGTAATAGGTATGTAGTATATACAGACAGGATATTGAGTACAAAACGCACACCACACAAAATAAAGTACGTAAGGTAAGCAAAACCGTCGTTTTCAAGATATCTTACAAGCATACCTAATACCTAAGTTGTATAAAAAAAATGCACATTGCTCGCAGAGACGATGGCAACGTGGGTAGGTGGTCCGACGACCTGGTGAAGGCTGAGAGAAGCCGTTGGATGCGGGCAGCACAGGGCCGGTTTTTGTGGCGAACCTTGGGGGGAGGTCTATGTCCAGCAGTGGACCTCTTTCAGCTGAGAAAAACTCCTAATGTTTTAAGAATTTCCAGACGACTCAAATCTTCTCCAGTCCAGGAACGTATAATAAAATACTGCTGTCAATGATAGCACGTTCGAAGTATTGAGTTAAAACCCATCACGTTTAAAAATAATTTAGTTCAATGACTTAATTTTTATTCCTTCATCAACCTAAACCTACAATTTAATTAGGCAAGAAAAATATCAGCGTACTACCTGAAGTTGTCAATCGAACACTTCCACCTGAATTCAAACCAGCATGGTATTTCCCTGCTTAAATATACCTATTTTGTCCCAATATAAAAACTTCTATATTCAGGATAGTCCACAATAACACAGATAAAATTGTTGACAGTACTACACGATCTCTCTAGGTCGTCAGATGCCTGAAATAAAAAAAAAACACCTTCTTTTCCATACGTCATTTAACCAAGACCGGGAAAACAAGACATACCCTGTACCACAACAAAGAACACAACAATTTTCAAACAAACAAAACACAAAACAAGTACGAGGCATGCCTTTTAAATTTTGTCGTTTGAAGAAAAAAACACAACTAGAACAAGCCGTGTCAGGCCTCTTCTTAAGATGCAGAAAATTATTCTAATAATTATTATTTTTGGTCTGGCCAGCGTGGTATAGTAGGCCAAAACCTCCTTTCTAAGGAGAGGCCTATGTCCAGCAGTGGACTAGTAAAGGCTGTTCATGATTGCATGAACATTTTCCTTAGAAAGATACGTCATACGCAACCTGACAGATTTGCATTGACAGAATAGCATTAATCCTAATACTTTCCACTGTTTTGAGATTCAAAATTTAAACACATTCAAATGTAGAACAATTCCAAATTCAAAATTGCCGGGAAATATGGAAACGACAGAACTTAAAAGGCATGCCTAGCAACATAAAAAGCACTCTCTACATCTCTAGCTTGCACCACCATAAACCCCAACACAATACCCTACCATAGGATTAGAGGTATCATGCACGAATATAGTCTCAGGTCTCCGTCGCCGCTCCACTATGGGCGTTCTGACCGGCTGCAGGGAGGCAGGGCGCCGTCTTCTCAACGACAACTCCTCGAACAGTTTGTGGGCATGTACATACTTGTATAACTCTTTGTGCAGCTGCGGACAAGTACGAGGAAAGCTGTGCATATAGGTGCTGTAGAAACGGCAGTACAGCCAGGGATAAAATAATAAATTTATATATGTGTATCCTACTAGTGTGGTGTATAACCATCTGTTTGATGGTTTGATGGTGTGAATGAGGACATGGCTAGATAGGGCCTAACCAGTCGAATGACATGATGGCGGAGAATAATCTTAATGATTATTATTATGATACCTTTGTGTAAAGTTTATTTAGGGTCGGTGCACGGTTAAATATTGTCTGTTTTTTTTAAGGAACAGGGGCCGAGATGACTGTTCACCTGATGGAAAGTGACTACCACCGCCCATGAACGCCTGCAACTTAGTAGTCACAAGTGCATTGCGTTTATGACCGACTGAATGGCTGACGCCAGCCTCTTGTGAATGTAATCGTTATCAGACGGGATAAAGGAACAACAAAGGGGTAAAAAAATGGAAACTGTATTTCAAGTGATTAGAAGTTTTAGAGTAGCTATTGTAAATATATACTTTTCAGTTAATGTACAAGAGGAAGACATCAGACCTTCCCTTTGTAAAAATTTTACTGTTACTTTACAATATTTAGAATAATGAGATTTTTCTAGAATTCCCATGAACACATGAACATCCTCAAGAACATGAAAATGTTAGTGTACTGGGAAAATAAAAGAGAGTTAAGCCAACCTGGTTTATATTAACTAAATCTATAATGGTGTGGTTACATGGTGTGAGCACAACCTAACGGAATGGTGACCGAAAATGCACTGTTTTCATGTAAGGGTGAAATAACGTTAATCGAAGTAAATCGCTGACCGCGCGCAACGTGATATAACGTGAGTGTATTCGACCATCACGTTGAAGGTTGTGGGTACCAAAATAAGCTACTATCGACTTAAAACCAATTACAATAAAGTTCCATGGCCTCTAAATGATATTTATTACTTTTTTTTTAGTATATATTTGCTGTCAGATTTATTATTAGTCACACTGTTAATATGAAATATCTAAGCTTATCTGCTTATGTGTGAGTAGTACTTGCATATTGTTAAAAAATGCGAATAAAATATCATAAATAGTGCAAAATATAATAAGCAAATAGAATAGATTAACATTGAACATGCATTTATACATTTTTAGGGTTCCGTACCCAAAGGGTAAAACGGTACCCTATTACTAAGACTCCGCTGTCTGTTCGTCTGTCACCAGGCTGTATTTCATGAACCGTGATATTTAGACAATTGAAATTTTTACAGATGGTGTATTTCTGTTGCCGCTATAACAACAAATACTAAAAACAAAATACAATAAATATTTATGGAGGCTCCCATACAACAGACATATTTGTTTGCCGTTTTTATAGATAATGGCACGGAACCCTAAAAATGTACAGTGTATAATGTAAAATAAACAGCCGAGTAACCTGATGGTAAGTGGCTACCACTATACACCCGCAAATGAAGTCACCAGTGCCGGCTTTTGCTTTATATTTACATAACAAACTAGCTGTACCATGCCACGCGTCGCTGTGACACTTTATGATGCATAAAAAACTAACGGGGAAACAGATAAAAACAATATTTGAAGCGAGTTCTATTTCGGGGCAAAATTTGAGCTCAATTGGTGCAAAACTTTCTGAGTTTGTGAAGCTTACAGAAACTAACATACATTTTTATATGTATATCAGGTTTCAGGTTTAGGATCCTTTAATTCTCGCAAATAATAACATTAACTATTCACTTACATGGGAAAAACAAATTACAGTTTCGTTGATTTAGCTGTGATACTAAAGTAATTGAAACAAAATAACTAACTATTAACTAATAAATAAATATGTATATGTATGTAAAATATACATATTTATGAGTTCTTGAGTGGAGACCGCGTCTCGACAAACGTAGTGTAGGACGCCCACAGGCCAGGTGGAGTGACTGGCTGGCAGGAGCTGGATTCGAGAAGCCCAAAATCGAGCTAAGTGGCGTGCAATGGGAGAGGCCTATGTCCAGCAGTGGACTGCGATAGGCTGATGATGATGATATGTAGATATATATGTGAAGTTTTATTTCTAATAAATCCTGGTTGTGAGAATATATTGCTATTGTTAATAATTATCATTATGGTAAATAATAAAAGATATAATAAATATTCATAAATAAACAAAAATTCTAAGGCAGAAAGTGCCTCCAGATGTAATATAGATACAAAAAGAAGTAAAAATGTGAACCTGCATGTTTGTGAAGCCGGTTAAAATAGAAGCTCACCTCAAATCCTAGCTTGTATATCTGCAGCAAGAGTTCCCTGACCCTGGTGACGACGGTCTCATCGCGGGTGTCCTCGTAGAGCGCCATGGCTGACTTACTCCGCTCCAGGATGAACATTATGTGTTTCAGGATGCAATCCCGAATGGCCATAAGGCCGTTCTATTGGAAAAATTAAATTTTGTAATAATTGTCTTTATAGATAACATTTCTATTAAAAGTTCTGAAAAAAAATTACTATGAATTTTAAGCTGCTTTATAATTTACACACTATAATTTATTAAGTATTTGTTATGGTAAAAGGAGAAACGAGCTGACAGGTCACCGGATGCGATGTTCTAATTTCCTTGGTAATGTCGGCAATGTCCTCAATGGAAGCGCCCTTCAATCCCGGAGGGGGTTTAGAGAGAGAACGCAGTACCGCTCTCTTTACCCGCACGGGGCGCCCTAAGACATTCGTTGATCTCCTGGCCTGCGTGCGACGATTTTGGGGAATTCGTTCGAATAGATACAGGTCAGACAGGTAGCGCACAGTGTTTCGTGTGCACTTTTAGAGGACTGCGACCGAAGGGTGACGAGACTCATCTTGGGTGAGACGGGGTGGTGGAAGAATGCAATGCGATTTCCGCTCTCCGGCCTTTGACAAGCAGAGGAATACCAGGGTGGTTTGTTGTATTATTTTGGTGTCACTGTCTTTGGCCCTGAATTGAATATTTATTTTAATTTCGGTTATTTTACAACTAGTATTATGGACCTTTTCTAAGTAAGATACTCTATATATAAGTTTAGGAAAAACGCTTTTCTTATTAAAAGTGCAAATCAATAAAGTCAATAAATTGATTAAGTTGAGCCATATTAAAACGGTATGCTTGCACGTTTCATCATCATCATCATCATCAATAGCCTTTAACAATCCACCTGCACATAGGCCTCTCCTTAGAAAGGAGGTTTTGGTTTACTATATCACGCTGGCCAGACGGTATAGGGTTTACAATATTGGAAAAAAAGGTCGATCGGAGCTGTCATTTTAGTCTATCTAATAAAAAAATCAGACAATACCATCGCTCGCTTCAAAACTTGCGCATGATTGGAAAGTGAACATGAAACACTTCAACAGAACAATAAAGGTAAGGGTAATATGTGTAGACGATGTAGACTCACAAAGATCTGTCCACGCTCGTGCATGTAGGCGGGGGGCGGCGCGCGCGCCAGGCGGGCGGCGAGCGCGCGCGCCCACTGCGCCGCGTGCAGCGCCATGTCGCGCGAGCACGCGTACGTGCGCTGCGCCGCGCGACACACCGCGTACACAGAGTGCCTTACGGTTCAATACATATTTTAAATTAGGTTCTTTCTTATTTATGTGTTTCTAACAGTTTTTCACTTAACATTTAAAAATTTAGGGGTGAAATTACCGAAAATCCATTCTTAGTAGGTTTTCAACATAAAAATCATCGGCTGCCACATTTTAAGTCCGCAGCAAGTAATTTTATGTGTATAGATTTAACACGTCATCATCATCATCATCGACAGCCTTTAACGGTCCACCGCTGGACATAGACCTCTCCTTAGAAAGGAGGTTTTGGCCTACTAACACCTTATAAATACTTCATATGCTACGTCATATTTGTTGAACGTAGGACAATAGAATAAGCATGCTAAACTTAGATGTACATATATTATACGTATAATCTTACCTATCAGATGCATCCCTGTCATAATCGTTAACTTGTTCGAACTGCTTTAGCAGTCTACTCAGTTGATTACAGGTGATGTTCCTAAAAATATTTATTCAGTTATTATATTATTTTACTGTTAAATAAAATGGTGTGATGAATGAATGATTACCTAAATAGTTGCATTTTATTAGCATAGATCAAATCTTCATCGTTAGTTAAAAATTAAATTGGTAGATGATGATCATTTGAAAGCGGACCAAAGATACTGCCTTGTGGTACTCCACATTTAAATGGCACTACACACACTATATATTTAAATCAAAATATATGTATTTACTCTACTGTATATTATTTTATGATATATTACAATAAATAACACTGACTAGGCATATTCTTACATTCATTATGTACTTGTAAAGTTTTTTTAAGAAGAAAACTTAATGCTTTACAGTATTGAATGCTACGGTCAAAATTACACTTTAATATTTATGCCAACCTAGTTTTTATAAGATTTTTAAAACATACAGAATATACCTAGTAATAAAATAGTAATAGAACCTGAAAATGTACCGTTTTAGGTAATATTTCGTAATTGTTGAGAATACTTTTGTAATTGTTGAAATTGATATAAAAATTTCATGAGAAGTTGTTTAGAAATTTCGAAGCACTTCCCCAAGAACCACAATGCTTCTGCAATTTGACCACACCTATCTGTAGTACGCCATATAATGCTGTACTTATTATTCAATACTAATAAATAACAAGCAGCATGATATAGGTTGCCATAATTACTGTTTCTAAGTACGAGTAAACTTACGAAAACGTGACTGGTGCTAAGACTGCAGCGCATTTGATACGCTTGGCGAGTTGCGCCGTGAACGCCCACTCCGCCTGCAACCTGGCGCGAGCCATCAGCTCCGTCTCCGACATCGTCGTCAGGTACGACAGGTATTGCTGTGAGACAATTTTATCTACATCATATATCCACAAAGAACAATGGGTCTTGAAACAAAAAAGTATTTGGAATCAAATTGCGTCGTCTTATATTGAAAAAACTAACTATTTTTTTTTTGGGCAAAGCTAGGAAAAAAGATATTAGAATTTGATTTTTTTAGTTACGCATTTTTAAGTATTATATTTTACATAATATTTGCACATAACTACAGTAACATCATCATCATCATCACATCATCAGCCTTATTAAAGGCTGATGATGAGATGATGATGATGATGTGAAAACCTTTCTAAGGAGAGGCCTATGTCCACTGCTGGACATAGGCCTCTCCTTAGAAAGGTTTTGGCCTACTATACCACGCTGACCAGACGGGTATAGGTAGTGGTATAGGGTTTGTGTCAAGTTTTCCTTCTTTTTGCAGTGCTGGTGGCCGGCGTTGTTTTGCGTTCTTAGTCAGCTCTTACGACACCCACGGAATGAATTGGGGTAGTGACATTCTGTATTCTTAATCTGTCACTACACGGACAAGTAATATATGAGTAAGATTTAATATATAATTATCAACTTATTTTACATGAAATGATTGAATTAAATTTATTCGTTGTAACACATTGTTTAAATAATGTTATTTATTGTACAAATATGTCTTGAATTTTAATTTTTTATTTTTGTATTTATGTTCAATTTTTATAAGTATTATTTGTAGTTTTTTTTTTGTATTTTAATATCTTCTTTAAATTAAAATATCTGGGAATACCTAAGCAAATAAATTATAATATTACTGTTTCTAATAAAGAAAAATACCAACAACAGTTAGGAAAAAACACTAAGTGAATGTATCTCCGGTTCAGTGTACGCGTACCTTAAGCAGCGTCTCGACGGTGGTGTCGAAGGTCTGCGCGACGAGCGCGAGGTCCTTGGCAGCCTCGGGCACGACCACGCGGCCGCCCAGCGCCGCGCGCACGTGGCGCGAGAAGTCTGCGCGCATCTCCGACGCTATGTCCAGGCCCTCGCGCAGCTCGTGGATCAACTGTATACCAGGGACAACAACTTAGTTCACTACTATACTAGAGGGTCTCAGCTATCGAATGTAAACCTACAGTATTTGTACAGTAGGCTTCACTTTATGTCAACAAGATATGTTTTTTAAGACATTATCGCACTGGGAATATCTTATTTATCTTGTGTGGCGAGGTACTTTACAAACATACATGGAACGCTCAAAGGATACCCACACTCAGAACAACAATTAGTGGATCGCAGTGTTATCGCATATGGGGATTGAACCCTCAAAACTCAGAGCAGTAGAAAGCGGCGAGGTGAACGCTTAAGCCACTACGTCAACCGTGCAGTCAATGTAATCCACGTACCCTATTATAATACTCCACCTTTTACATTCCATTGCCAAGTTAGCTCTTTCATACGAATTATTAGATTTATTGATATACTCTCCAGTGTAATTTGACAGTTTCAAAATAATTAAAGTTTTTATTACCATTTTTTAATTAAATTATCAGCATTTATAATAGTTCACCAAAATTAGGCCAAACCTGTGGTATGGTTACAAGACAACTGGTAAACATACTTAAATATTCCTAAACACATACATAATATTATGACAAATCACACATAGTTTAGATAAATTACACCCAGACCCAGAACAAATGATCGTGCTTATTACACAATTACTTGTCCTGAGTAGGCATCGAACCCACAACTTCTGGCGTCTTTAATAATAAATAATAATATACCTCACACATTTCACACACGGCCGTCTGATCCCAAACTAGGCAGAGCCTGTGCTATGGTGACCAGACTGCTGATAAACATACTTATATATTTTTTAAATACATACATATTATAGATAAATTACACCCAGACACAAAACAAATGATCATGCTCATCACACAATATTTGTCCTGGGTGGAAATCGAACCCACGACCTCCGGCTTAGCAGTCAGGGGCACTAACCACTCGACCAACAGGCCCGTCAAATACAGCTACATTTTGTTTTAAACATTACCTGTTTAACAGTGAGACAGCTTGGATGTTCAGGGGTAGCTTCCAGTCTGAAGGAGAGGTAATCATGCACGGCCTCCATGCAGATGCTACTGATCAGTAGAAAATGGGATCGGTATGACGGCAGACGCATGGAAATACACTCTTCGGACCAGCACCCATACCTACGGAAATTTGAGGTTAGTCACGTGGCTTCACTGTAAAGTTATAGGACTGGTCGCCGATGCGTTCCTGGAACTCCTCCCGACTGCCGAGGTAGGCCGCCGCGGGGTTTGGTGGGTAGCCGTACCGTTTCCCCAACGGAGGGTACCCATTACCCGTGTGAAAAAAAAAAGGACTGGACAGAGCAGAACACTATGTCGTGGAAATAAAACACATAATATGAGCTTCCTAGTCGTATCCGTATTCGATTCATAGAAACTTCTTTTGAGATATTGAAACATCTCGACTGTTTAGTTTAACAAACCTACAAGATCTGTTGAATCCAAGGCAAATGTATTTTGAACTGAACCCTGAAATCAATGATGATGAAATGAAGGTACTTGTAAGTTCCAGCATGGTAAATGTAATTATAATAATTCTCTTACCGTCTAAGCTCATAGGTCTTCATGGCGTCCTCATCATGCTCATCTGGTTTTCCATTGTCATACCGCGCATCTTCTAACACTTCTTCTCCGTCTTCTTCAATGAGAGTTTCTGATTCTATTGTCTATGAGAAGTGAATGCATTTCAATGATTAATGAGATACTGTTTCACTCGGCACTCCTTGATTGAGGACCGTAGTTGGGTTTAAAAAACTATTATAATATTTTATTTATTTCCAAAGATCTTAATAGTTTATCACAGAAAGTAATGGCGAAGCCCCGCCCCTGACCAATCAGGTTCCAAGAAATTATCATTTCGTACTAAAGCTTAAAACCTGATTAGTCAGGGGGCGGGGCTTGGCCATGCGTCACTATTTTCTTAACGCGAATGGACCTGAGTAAACTATTCGTTTACGTTCAGTCGTGTTGTAGTAGACTGAAACCCCAACTTAGTTTGGGAAAAGATTCGGAGGATGATGAATCTTTTGTAGTGAAAAACTAGTATTTCAAAACATTTTTTTTTACTTCAACTTTCTTTCTTTCTTTAAAAAGACAACTCCCGCATTAGGAATAAACCCTGTGTCGCGGGGGACTTTACAAACATACAGAACAACAATTTGTGGGTTACACAAAGTGTCATTCCATGTGGGTATCGGACCCACAACACTCAGCGTAGTAGTACGCGGCGAGGTGAGCGCCTAAACCAGTACGCCATCCGTGCAGTCGATTTAGTTACTAAACCAACTTTAAGCGAGACTTGTTTCTTTAAGAAGAAGTAACCATGACTTACGTCAGGCTTCTCCAGTGTAAGGTACACCTTGTCCAGCACGTATGCCCTCATCTTGTAAATGAACATCATGCAACGCCTCACACCCTGCGTCTTAAGTGTCTCCCGGTGGTATTCTCTGTAACATACAGTTGTTTTCTATGGTATAGCAGACAAACGAGCAGACGGGGCACCTGATGGTAAGTGGTTACCGCCATCCATGGATGTTGGTAACACAAGAGACACATCGTTGTCTTAGTAACTACCCCAAAATTAGGGAGGTACCTCATTCGGTAAATTTAGTAAAACAAAAGAATAGTTTTCAAATAGGGCGAGCTATAAAATGATTGTCATATTAAAAGATTCTTTGATCAGTCATTGGCACTAACTTATAAACACCATTGTTTTCATACATAAAAAATCACAAACAAATTTCATAAAAAATTAGTTAGTATGAACTTTATAAAAAAAGTTCAGTTTTGCTTAACTTACTAAAATTACTTGCCTTAATTGACTGATTCATCAACACAAAGGCTAAACTGCTGGAACTACAAACTTCAAATTTTAACAACTGATGCCTTATATGTCACCCCTAAGGGTCCGTCCGCACAGCGACATTTCAACGCGTGTTTTAATTTGTCAAATTCTGTGATACACGGGATTTATATAGGACTACCCGCACTGGCGGAAACCAATTGGAGAAAAAAACAGAATCTTTGGTTTGATGCAAATTGCGTGATTTAGTCCGCGATACCACGGTACTATTATAATACAGTACTCCAACTTCATACAAACGGACGAAACGCGAGCTATACCTACGCTCCTCGATCTCGGGGTGCGCTCGGGGCGCAGACAGTCACGGCTGTACCGCAGTGTCGAACGGACGGTGTGTTGTTTTTTTAACAATAACCGCGCGATTTTTTCTCTAAAAATCAGTTAATATGACGATTAGGAAATATTGTGCTGTTTTTGGTTGTATGAATTCGTCAATAACGCATCCAGACATAAGTTTTTTTAAATTACCTGGAAACTCTGAAAGGTAAGACTATAAAATAATTTTACTTACTAGTAGGTAGGTACATAATGTGTGTCTTATTATTTAAAATTACTTTTATAATTAAAATGCTGGAGACGGGCAGCCCTAACGCATGTTTACGTACCGCGCGGCTGTAGGCATTTATTTCTATCATGCGGCCGAGTTACACTACTGTATTATAATTATACCGTGGCGATACGTCGCTGTGCGGACGGGCACTAAGAGGCCTATAATAAGCAATAAGCGGTTATATAAAGGTTATTCATTTTCGACAAATAAATTATTCCACGAGCGATGTCGTAGGCAATAGCTAGTTGTGAGTAATTTTAACCTTAAGCCTTAGAGTATGAAAAGAATGTGGGAAGACTGACCGGTACATGGAGACCTGGCACCTGTTGAGCAGGCGCATCTGCGTGAGCTCAGCGAGCGCGCCGAGGTCGAAGGCGTCGGTGGAGGGCGCCATCTCGCTCGCCGACGTGTAGCCGCTCTCCGACGAGTCCTGGGTGCCGTACTTGTCCGAGACCACTATCTCGGGCGTGCTGAGACCGTTGAGGTCTTCTGAGTAAGGGAAATAACAAAACATACAGTATATTAATAAAAATCACACATCTCACATACGGCCGTCTATGCTATGGTATACTAGGCAGTCCAAACTAGGCAGTCTATGCTATACTAGAAATAAAAATAATTATAAATTAGCCACAGAACAATTTATCGTGCTCATCTCACAATTATTTGTTTTGAGTTGGAATCGAACCCACGACCTCTGATTTAGCAGTCATAATCACTAAGAATCCGAATGATGGTGATGAAGAACATTGTGTAAAGTGTTTTATTTAAATAACAGAGTTAGAGCAATCACCATAAATAAAGCATTAATAAATTAATAAAGAAACCAAAAAAACATATTTAGGAAATAATCTTCTATAATTTCAAAAAAAAAACATTTTATCGTAAAAATGCGTGGGGTGCTAGATTTCTTGATTGTTGTAAATATTTTATTGACAGAAGTAAAGGTTTTATGTTATAAAGTGTCTTGAAAAGCATGATTATTACATTAATTGTTGAATTTTAAAAAATAGTCACTAATAGTTATTCAGAGACAATTTTTTGAGTGATTTTGGTAATAAAACATATTTTCTTTCTTTCCTTAAAATAGTAATTATATTAATCAGCCATTTTACGTCATCATCACTTTTTTTTAAACCGCCAGGCTTTTAAAGTTCCTTTTATTCACAAAAAATTAAAATAAACTTACTAAAGTACGAATTGCAGCTATTCATATTGCTGTCTACTTCATCTTTTTCCGAATCCTGTATATTCTCACATTCTTCTTCTTTATTCTCACTCTCCGATCCTTCTTCATCTTCTTTAACTTCATCGGGTGACTCTTCTTTGATTTCACCTTGAGCTGAGTGGTCGCTGCTGCTGGAGTCTGATGGATTGTTAGGTACGTTGAATCGAACATGGGAAGGCCGTGATGACTCAGAAGATTGTCTGGTAAAAAAGATCATGGTCTAAGAAGAGTTGTTAAGGAATAATGTACAATAATGACAAGTAAATGATGGTGGTGATGGGTTCACTTCACTTCAGCCACTTAACATTAGGTGACACTGATAGTAAGTGACTACCACCGCTTATTGCATCATCATCATCATCACATCAACGCCTCTCCTTAGAAATGAGGTTTTGGTCTACTATACCACGCTGGCCAGACTGGTTAGTATAGGGTTTGTGTCAAGCTTTCCTTCTGTTTGTAGTGCTGCTGCGTAGTTTGCTTCCTTAGTCGGCTCTTACGACTCCCACGGGATGATTAGGGGTGGTGAAACTCAGTATTCTAAATCCGTCACCAAACATATAATGGACACCTTCGCTAATGGAGAAATGCAACTTAAGAATCAGAAGTATATATCCGTTCTTGAAGTCCTACCCATATGACATCTCACGTACCGTCTGACGGTCAACTCCGCGCACGTTCTTTGGTCAAATTAAATCGTCAACTTGCAGTTACGTACTTATGTCCCTTTCACCTTCCTTTATATTTATTTATGTAATAAACTATCTAAGTGACAAATTTTTACTGTTAGTGACATAGTGTTACCTGCTAAAGCTAGAATCCATTGAAGTTCTCTGTTGCACACGTTGTTGCTTGAGCCGAATGGACCGCAACATCCTTCGCATCGACACCAACTTCATCCGCATGTGTAGAGTTATGTTATACCATAGACACATCGCCTGTTGGCAAAAAAGAAATAATATTATTATACTGTCGATGATGACTGTCTATCGTCTCTTATAAAATACGCTGTGATCTACATCTCACGCCATCTAGCGATGATACCTCGAATTATTTCATATTACTAATCCTACGTCATGGTATTAAGAATTACATGATTAATGACGTTTCTTGGGAGGTCCCTAAATCAATCTTCTTAGTGTGACCTCAATTCATAATTTGTCTAGTCAGCTCGGTGGAACTTGCGTTGCAGGAACATCACTTCATCATGTCTGGTAGGACAGTCTTTACACAACTTTGAATATTAAATTTTAGAGTTTATTTGTATTTTTAAATATCAATAATAAAAAAAAGGAAATATCTCATCATACAGGCTAAACCTGTTAATCTTTGAAAAGCTAAACATGTCTTTTAATTAGAACTAAGAACATTCTCCATTAAATTACCTTTTAAACGAAAAAAGTTAATCAAAATCTGTTCATCCCTTTAACTATTGTTAACGTTGTCAGATCCAGACACACAGACAGTCAACCACACACAGATATTTAACTAAAAGACAAATTAAAAAGCAAATAAGTTTGATCAGCATAAGGTATATACCTTAACCCTATCGTTGAATGCTGCAGTGGCGATCTGAGGGTGTTCCACCGTCATATTCCTGCTGGAAGGGTAGAGCGACACGGCGTTGTAGAAGGAATCCAGCAGCGCTCCCACCTCGCGCATCGCCTTGCCGATGGCGTCCGAACACCGCTGACACTCGAACGACAGACAGCCGTATATCACGATATCGTCTGCAAACAGATATCATAATTATTATCTTAGACATAAGATTTAATAATTTAATTTGAGGTCTTTTGGTGTAGTGGTTAGTGAGCCGACTTTCGTGGATTCCACCCAGGACAAATATAGTGTGATGAGCATGATTATTGGTTCTACGTATGGATGTAATTTATCTATAATAGGTATATATTTGGAAATATTTAAGTATGTTTATCAGTAGTCTGGGTACTATAATACAGGCTCTGTCTAGTTTGGGATCAGACAGTCGTGTGAGAGATGTGTGAAGTTATTATTATAACTAACTCAAAATCTCTTTATTTCATTAAAAAAAAAAGGTTTGAAATCGTCTTTTATGTAGACTCTAAAGTCATAGATCAACACACACAAAAGCAACAATCTCTGTTTTGTCAAATAAATACTAATAATAATAATACTTGAGACCCCTTACACACGGAAGTCTGATCCTAAACTTGAATTATGTCTAGTTTGAGAACAGACCAGAGGAGCCATGAAGGTACTCCCCGCCATCAACAACTAGCTTACAAGGTCACTCCAGGTGTCAACTGCGTACAGTAACTGCAGTAATCGATAAACATGTCTTTGGCAAATTGGCCGGCTCGACTGGAGTGATACCACTTTCTAACAGAAAACCGGTGTTAACTACCGGAGTCCAACCCCTCTTCCCCATTCTGGACAATTTGCAGGTGTCAATGGGCGGCGTTGGTTACTTAACATTACCTAATAGGTGACCAGCCTTCTCGTTTTGCCCCCTTAACCAAAAACATCGCTATTTTAAATACTTTATTTCATACCTGGACGAGGTCCGCCCGTGTCCTGAGACTGGTCTGGATCGACGTCATTATGAGGATCACGATGTAGCTGCCGACCACATGGGTTAGTATTTACAAACCTGTAAAATTAATTATATTATTAACCAGCTATTCCCGAGGCTTGGTTCGCGTCCATCTTGTCAATAACTTTTTCCGATATAAAAGTAACCTATGTGTTATTCCAGACTATCTATATTTATCTTATCTTCTTTATATCTCTACCGTATCCGTATTACCAGGAACAAACACACAGCCAGAAAATGTATTGTTAAAATTGCAGGTAAACTTGAGAAAACGCAAATTAAAAAATATATTTTAAAAATAATTAAAAATAATAGTCCGTATGGTGACCGATTACGAATTCGGAGTATCACCACCCCTATTCATCCTGTGGGTGTCGTAAGAGCCGACTAAGGAAGCAAACTATGCAGGACAACGGCACTGCAAAGAGAAGGTAATCTTGAAACAAACCCTATACCAATCAGTCTGGCCAGCGTGGTATAGTAGTCAAAACCTCCTTTCTATCTCCTTAGAGGCTTATGTCCAGGCATATTTAAGGCTGTTAATGTGTGATGTGGTAACATTAAGAACAGAAACCCTAATTTCCCGCGATTTTGGTCTCTTTAGTAACTATTCTAGAAGGAGGGCATTGTTTTTCGACTGTATGTATATTTATTTGACACTCTCTGTAGCCTAAAGGGATTTTTTTGGTTTGATGGATTATGACTAGGGAGGTGTCGTAATATTAGTCTTAATAGTAAGAGTGACAAAATGTATATAATATGTATAAAATTAATTTAAATCGCCTGTGTGCACACTACGTGCCTATAAATTTTCAGGCAGTCGGGTTTTTTCTTTTTGAATATTTTCGTGATTATCTTTTGATGGTGATGATGATAATGACGTTCAAAAGACCAATTATAATACGTACTTGTATTCAAATATATTATTAATGATGGTGGGTACAATGTCCCGCTGCGCAAAAAGGAACGCGTCCTGCTGGGCGAGGGTCCTGCCAGCTAGTTTGGCTTGCAGCTCCAGCCATATTAAGTCTTTTAGCTCGTTCTGCCACACCTGCTCTTCGCGACTTATCTGGGGATAGAGAAAAAAGGAGTTTAACTATCATATCTTCAAAAAATATTTAAGACATACATATACGGGTAATACATAGGCCAATATCTGTGATCATACACCGTATATACGTGTGGTGACGGATTAAGAATACGGAATGTCACCACCCCTATTCATCCCGTGGGTGTCGTAAGAGCCGACTAAGGGAGCAAACTACGCAGGACAACAGCACTGCAAAGAGAAGGAAACTTGAAACAAACCCTACATCAACCCGTCTGGCCCGCGTGGTATAGTAGGCCAAAACCTCCTTTCTAAGGAGAGGCCTATGTCCAGCAGTGGACTGTTATAGGCAGTTGGTGTTGATGATACACATCAATTTTCTATTTTACACTTTTATTTTACAAAAGCATTTTTTTTTAAATGTTTTTTTTTTTTTTCATTTTACATTTATTGCGTCATATTAATTCACTAAGTACTTTTTCTTATAAATTGTATCGAAGTGTAAGTCAATGAGATCCCTGTAGTGATTTACCACTTTACATATTCTTGCATAGGGAGAATTTTCACCAAGAATTGTTGTTCTTAGAGGGGAACAAAGTGGCGTGCGCGGGAGTCTGGATGGAAAGCGAAACTTAAAAAGGACTACTAAATGAGGACAGTCAATTTTCTGGTCGTGAATTTTCACTTTAGAATCCTAGAATGAGGATACTCACCGCTCTTTTACACCCTTTCTCAATATTCCCCATATTGATGAGTAAACTGAAAGTCTTATGGAAGCTGACTCTGCTCGGAGGCAGTTCCTCATCATCCTCACATTTCCACCGCTCTTCGATGATGGTCTCGCCGAGGAGCGACTTCTCCGCATAGGCTTGGCAATCCCGGTTCTTGGGCCGGGAGGTGAGAGACATGAAGCGATTGCATGATTCAACCTGGAAGTAACCATAAAAATGAATTATTAGAACGGGGTAGACATTTTTGAATGCAATACTATGGCCTGACGTTATACCTAGCTTTTGTCAAATCATTTATATATAATGTTGATTTGAAAATATAAAAATATTAAACGTATGATTTGCAAATATTTGTTTCGGAGTTTGGGTATTTTCTATGTATAATATGTATGTATTTACAAAAAAAAAGTATATCAGTATTCTATCAGTCAATCTAGCTTTCACAGTACAAGTACTGTACTGACTCTCTCTCTCTCTGCTTAGTTTTAAACTAGATGGCGTTGTGTCAGATATCGATAAATACGGATGAAATTGCAGAGAACGACAAATAGTTACCAAAGTTGGTACTGCCGGTATTGGATTCGGTGATGGTAGAGAATCAGCTCTGGCATCGTGAGTCATGTCCAGTTTACTGTCCCTAGCTCTGTTGCGGATGATTTTTAAACTGGCTCTTTTCTTCAGACGGTCGCTTACTGAAAAAAATAATTAGAAAATTATGATAAATGATATTTTTTATCTATGTCCAAAATATTTGTATGATCGCCATATATTTATTTCGAAGTTTGGATGTTGTCTATGTATAATATGTATATACTCGTATTTCAAAAAAAAGTATACGAGTATTCTATCAATCAATCTAGCTTTCATAGTACAAGCTCTGCTTATTTTAAAACTAGATGGCGTTGTGTGTCAGATGTAAGAAAATATTATTATTATATTATTATTATCTCTAGGGTGCTAGTTATACTTGTTCATCTACTCTACTTCTTTATTTATTTAAAAAAAGACAACTCCCGCTTATATCCTGTGCAGCTTTACAACTTTGCTGTGTAACTTTACAAACATACATGAAACGGACACAAAGAACACCCAGACTCAGAACAACAATTTGTGTATCACACAAAGTGTCACACATGTGGGGATTGGACCCACAACACTCAACGTGGAAGTAAGCGGCTTGGCGACCGCTTAAACCACTACGCCATCTGTCTAGTCACTTTACTTTCCTATCGAATAATAGTAAGTAAAATGTAGGGGTTTAATACAGGCGCAGGCGCAAGTATTTCTAACTAAAAAGAATCCTGGTTCTATACGGGTCACAGGTATTGTTTGTGTATTACAGGTAATGTTTGTGTCACATGTTGTATGTATATGGAACTGGCTCTGTAAGTCTGTGGCCAGGCTGTGGCACATTGTGGTGGCATTGTTGAGAAATGAAGAACAAAACTGACGCGAAAAGTTAAAAAAAAAACAATCTTTGAAGCTGTTTCCATCTTGTGGCAAAATTTGAGCTGCATTGGTGCAGAACTTTATAAGTTTTGAAAGCGTACACAAACCAACTTTACATTTTTATATACAGGGTGTAAGAGATGGTGTAACGAATACTAAAATAGTGTATTCAGACCATCATTCTGAGTCGAAAGTCATTTTTTAGTTAAAAATGATATCACAATGAGTGAACATAACATTTTACTGCTTTTTTTCACAAATACCGCATACGGTTAAACACCGCAATGTCAAACAGATGAAGCGCGCGAGGTCTCCCTCCCAGGCCGCCAATTTGTGTCAGTGTGCGTAGACTGTTTGCAAGGAATATAAACGTAGTTGTTACTTTCTGCAATACCTACGGGGAATGACCTTAACATTTGACAGCTGAGTGCATAAAATGTTTAATTTTCCAGCAGAAAATTCCAATGATTTTCGGTTCAGAATGATGGTCTGAATACACTTTTTCAGTATTCATTACACAGTTCCTTACACCATATAAATAGGTGTGAGTTTGCACTTGCAAACATTTGTTTCTACTTGCCTGTCCGTAAAATGGATAGAAAACTAATGTAAGTTGATAGTTACGTTAACAGATACTACAAATTCTGCTATTTATAAGTTCCTAAACTTCATTGGAAATAATTAAGTGTCAGTTTATACTGTGAGCAGATCTTATACCGCGAATTCTGCTCAGTTTAACACAACCAAGTTCATTTGCAGTTGTTGAGTCTAAAAAACTTAAATAGACAAATCGAATGAATCAGACTACAGATTCTACGATAGGTAATTTACGTCGCTGTAATAATGTTTTTGGGTAGTCTGTTTGCCCAAGTTTCAGCTCTGTTTTAGACAGCAAGTATTTGTTATCTGCTATTAGATGAATATCTCACATCAGATTTTTCTTATTGATATTTTGTGTGTAATTTTAATCAAGTATGTAAGTACTATAATATGGCTGGTAATAATAGCTATGTTAAGCACCTAGTGGTGAGGGACGGCGACGTGACTCGAGCGGTTTTTAATGCATTAAGAAATATAGAAGATTATACATATGATAATTTTAAGTATTGGATGTGTTTTAATTGTCTAACCGTTTTACCAGGTGAAATGTCACTGGTTGTGGTCAGAGCCTAACTCCAAATGAGATTTTAATTTAACTACCGTAATTTCGATTAACTGGAATGTAAAAAATTTAACAGTTTTAAGACAAGTTGTCCAACAGCGCCGTAGCATTTGACGAATGGCTCTTGTATATGTATATGTATATGTATATATATATATATATATATATATATATATATATATATATATATATATCAATCAACCGCTGACGATGCTCGACCCCGTCCGCTGGCAGTACCTTAATGTTAGGTGGCGCAAAAGTCATCACCCTATCGGAAGATGGTATAATTTTTGCAAATGGCCGTAAATCTCTGTTTTGGTTTGACAATTGTGAAGTAAAAAGATACAAAATACACTTCAATAAGACATGAATCGCTATATTCCTCAAGAACGCGGAATAATTGTTTCGATATTTTTACGTAATAATTGATTGGTGGTTGGCGCAGCATAAATTAAGACGTAGATATCACGGTTTAGCTCGCCTAGAGCATTACACCCACTCACAATTACTGTTATGGTGTGGTGTTTACACTATAGGCGTCATCGAGTCTTATCTTTTCGTAAACGGGCCAAACGACTACTGTGAATAGCTCTACAGGGCCATGCTCAACAACTTTCTTCTATCGCAACTGGACGAATTGGGACTGGAGAACATGTAGTTCCACAGGACTGAGCAACGGTGCACGACCCACAACCGAAATTCTGATTGCTGCATTTCCGTCGAAGATCTCCTGTGTCTGATCCGCAAGGCCTGAGTGGCACCACTGCGATGGCCGGACCGTAGACACTCCACACGCTGGCAAGAATGCCCGGCGTGGGTGGAGCAGAGGCGTTGCCTCGTGGCGGCAATCGGAGTGGGAGTTCTCTAGCTCGGTAACATGATTGCTGACATGATACGGAGCGCCCCTGGAACTTCGCCGTTTTATTTTGCGAGCAAGTTTTACTTGCAAAGAAGATAGCGGAGCGGGACCGGGAGAGGTTTAGAACACTCCCGACCCGCCAGGCCCGGCAACGGACCAGGTAACGCAAATGACTCAGGCGCCGGAGGTCGTAGAACGACCACCGTCCTCTATAAGCGCAGGCCTGGGGGTGGTAGGTGAGGCCATCTGTCACGACGGCGGCGAAAAGGGCACAAAGGGGACATAGGGGTTCCCACACAGGAGGGGGTCATTTACACGCCGTAAATGGACAGAGGGTATCAGGGATTTCCTTACTAGGGTACACCTGGTCCTCCGGCAACTGGTACCCGAGACGGCGTGCGGTTTTTGGTCAGTTCGAGTCCGACATATCCACCGGACCGCCGGTGGGTGGTATCCGAGGGGATTTCCGTACAGAAAAAAAGGCTGCATTTCCGGGTCGACTAATCTCTCCTTATAATTATTTGGCCGGCAATATCGTTTTTACTGTACCGTTTCGAAATAGAGAAGATTTGAATTTGAACATAAATATGTATTAAAGTATATATTAGGGCAAAGTCTGGTACTCACCTGGAGAGCCATTATCGTAGTGATCAACCACTTCTTTCTTCTCCCGCAAGAGGCGCTGGAAACCCGGTGTCGCATCCAAGTGATTTCTGCAACAAAACATTACAAATAAGAATTTTATTATAAACTAGCTTTTGCCCGCGGCTCTGCCTTATCACGATAAAAAGTAGCCTATGTTACTCGCTGATAATGTAGCTTTCCATTGGTGAAAGAATTGTTAAATCGATTTAGTGGTTTAGGCGTAAAAGCGTAACAAACACACAAACTACCTTTTATGTTTAGGTTTAGTAGGAGTTCAGTGATATACACACGTACAGATAAACTATATAATTAGATAACCAAGAATTTAATGTCTCATAATGTATTCAAAAAATGTATGTTACAAGGGAATTTCGGAACGGTTTTGTAAAATGATTTATATGATTGGGAGTGCATTCGTGAGGCCCGTGTTTGATGGCCGATGCCGAACTATAGTTCAATAGCTTTTATTAAGTTTTACTGAAGACAAAAATAGGCTTCCTCATGATCATTCATAATTTTCCAGCTCCAATTTAACTTGGGGCGAAATGGCTTCACTGGTTTTACTTATAGCCGGCTGGGTGCCTGACGTCAATCCTTAATATAGTGAGGAAGCTAAAGTAATAGAAGCCACAAGTCTTGGATTGGCAAACGGAACTGAGACTGTAGTAAGCCGGTGGTAAAAAAGGCCGGGTTCGTGTGCACACGGCAAAAGAAATACCTGATGTAGTACTTACTTGAAACAATAATAATTTGCAAATGTATGAGTTAAGAAACGAGTCATTTAAAATTCACACACATGTAAACGTATAATAATATACTAATCAGAGTAACACACATGTGAAACTGACCAGAGGGCTAAGTGCATGTTTATTCCACATCAACTCGCTCTCGACAGCGTGCGCGTTAGGCGTTGCGATAAGCCCGCACTGTATTCTGCATGTTGATGTGAAATAAACATGTACTAGTCCCTCAGGTATTTTATTTGCCGCGTGTACCTGTGTGTCCGTCCTAGCGATTGGAGCAGCCATAAGCTAGTCTAATACCTTCAAAAATATACTTAAAAAATATATTATCCCAACACATAACTAAATATTTGTATTTAATCATATTTAGACCTTATTTACCCTACATTACGACCGTATTTATTTTATTACCACACGAGGTCATTCGGAATTTTAAGAGCCCATTATTATAGAACCGAAATGTGTGTGACTACCCTACAAAGTGTGAAAACTATTTTCGAGTATTGTAATATTCATAAATTTAATGGATTACTAACGATAACGAGAATTCCATTAGTGGGTTGCGTATTGATAAGCTTACTATTTCAAATTAACATTCAACGAAAGGCATATGGGGGACATAAAATATTAAAATGTTATTCACTTTAAAAAATTGTCATCGACTTCAACGCACCTTAATCATGATAAAATTTATTCAACCGCATTGTTTATTCCCTAATTTTGTAAGGGGTAGAACTCTTAAAAAAATTAAGAAAAGCTTTTGTAACTATCCGAACTAAAAAGTATGAAATAATTTACTCTAAGTTCAAAAGAACAATCATTTTATCGTAAATAAGCGTGGGGTGCTTTTCAAGATATTTCATAATATAATAACTTTACTTTTAACAATATCTGTCAATGAAATATTTTTACAAAAAAATGAGTTACGACCGAGGACCGACCGAATGAGGTTTGAAACCTTCAAGAAAAGAGTGTACTCCTTCAGAGGGCCGGCAATGCGTTTGTGACTTCTGAGTTGCAGATGTTCATGGGCGGCGATGGTCACTTTCCATCGGGTGACCCGTCTCTCCTCAAATATAATTATTTATATATTTTATGACGACCGAATGGCTTAGTGGATTGTGTAACGGACTGCTATTCCAAAGGTGGCGGGTTCGATTCCCGCTCAAGTCAAACATTTGTGTGCATGAACATTTAATGTTTGATTTGGTCTGGGTGTTTCTATGTATAATATGTATGTATTTACAAAAAAAAAAAGTATTTATGTATTTATATCAGTTGTCTAGTACTCATAGTACAAGCTCTGCTTAGTTTGGGACTAGATGGCGTTGTGTCAATGTGGTAGAATATTATATAATATTATTAAAAAAATCTCCCACCCCTCGCATTTTTCATTTTGAACTTATGGTAAATTATTTTCTACTTTTTTAGTTCAGCTAGTTACAAAAGCGTGTTTATAGTTCTTTTTTAACTATAATTTATTTATGAAATGAGGGCAAACAAGCAGACGGGTCACCTGATGGTAAGTGACTACCGCTGCCCATGGACACCTGCAACTCACAGAGTCACAAGTGCATTGTCGCCTTAAAGAGGCGGATGTGCCTTCGGTAACCCCAAAAATCGTATAACGCCGTTTTTCGGTGAGGATATCACTCGAGGCGAGGCAGCCCACGAGGGGGTCATCTACAAGCCGTTAATGGCCCGGGATTCCAGGAATTTCCTTTCTAGTGTACACCTGGTTCCCCGGCTACTGGTACCCCAGACGGCGTGCGGTTTTTCGTCGGGGCGAGCCATCCCATAGGCAAGTGCGGCTTTGATAAATTTAACGTTAATAAAAGAACAGGTATTTTAGGTCATTAACCAAATTATCTCCTATTGTAAGTGATAGAGTCAAAATATTGCGATGGTATTGCATAATATCACACCGTGCAGTGTATTAGTATACATAATATATTTATAGTACTTAATGGTTTATCACGTGAACATTTTACACAAATATGTCGAGTGTAATAAGATAACAAAACAATGATTGAAATAAGTTTCAAATGTTGTGTCATAACCTCGTCTATGAAATTTGTAAAATGCTAAATTTTACAAATTTAATAGACATTGTTTTTTTTTTTGGATTTCTAGGTCAAGACCTCTATTAAAGGCGTTGACTTGGAAGCTATCACTATACATTACACGGTATATTGTGTGATGTTTGATTTGGCATTTAGAAAATTGCCTGCCTTACAATATACTCATCATCATCATCATCATCAACAGCCTATAACAGTCCACCGCTGGACATAGGCCTCTCCTTAGAAACGAGGTTTTGGCCCACGATGGCCAGACGGATTGATATAGGGTTTGTTTCAAGTTTTCCTTCTCATTGCAGTGCTGTTGTCCTGCGTAGTTTGCTCCCTTAGTCGGCTCTTACGACACCCACGGCATGATTAGGGGTGGTGACATTCCGTATTGGTGGTATTCTTACAATATACTAAACGAAGGAAACCAGGTATCGACATGATTCACACTAAGATACTTTTATATTTGCCGGAGGATAATATATAATACCGGCGTCCTAGATACATATTTAATTTTATACATATATACGTCCTTTTATTCTATTACTTATGATCACTTGGTCTTCGTCGTATAATTATCTACATATATAAAAACTTTAAACGCGATAATCCCTGAAACTTACCGTAGTATGTGTAAATATTTACACACAACTCTTCGAGAAGACTGACAAGCATCGAGCAAAAATCAGCCCCTTAAACGCAAGCTGTTGGGAACAGTTAATACTGTTAAATGGTGAAAGAAAAAACATTTAAGTAGATAAGTGCTATGGAAACGTCATCATCATCATCATCAACAGCCCTTAATTGTCCACTGCTGGACACAAGCCTCTCCTTAGAAAGGAGGTTTTGGCCTACTATACCACGCTGACCAGACGGGTGGGTATAAGGTTTGTGTCAAGTTTTCCTTCTCTCTGCAGTGCTGTTGTTCTGCGTTATTTTTTCCCTTAGTCGGCTCTGACACTGTATTCTTAATCCGACACCACACGGACAGTGGCATATATTTTGAGGACGTCTACGTCCTGAACTGGTTTAGCTGCTCAATCCGGTTTTAACAGATCGACGATCAACAGTTTTTCAAAACAGGTCTACCGAGTGTACACAACTGTTTTGGCTTCTAGTGTCATAAGACCTGGTTAGCGTCACTTTGCAATCCTGGTATGGGTAGCATCTGCATAGAAATAGTATTTGAAGCAAGCTATTTTTTAAACGTTTTTATGTTTGCTACACATGTAACTAATAACTATGTAAACAAATTTTTGAAATCACTTTTAAAATACATTGTTAATGCTAACTGATAAACAAATACCTAATAAATACCTTCCAAAATGCCTGAAGTTTTGACCAGGTTGCACTGACCGTGGTAAACGTGTGTGGTGTGTGTAAAAACTTTGTTTGTAAATGTTTAAATTTATATTCCTAGTGGTTATATATGTATAGATACATACTTAGTAAGGATGACAATACAATATACACTTAAGAATATAAGATTTGGTATCTTGGAGCTGATGTGATAATAAAGCAAGCAAGCGGTGGTAGCCAAGAGGTTCGAATCCTGACCAGTACACTACCAACGTGAACCCACTCCTAATACAAGAAATTTAGTTTAGCTGGAGGGGTTAACGGGAATACTAGCACTTTCGGTTGTTGGTAAGCGTTTAAAAAAAAAACAAGGTGTACTGTGTGGTAGGTGAATCCAATGTTAGGCGTACCTATATGAGTACACGACGGTCCCAGGTGGTTTCCACATGCACAAAAAGCAGGCCGGTATGTTGAAGTCCTCAATTCTTCATACCTTCGAGTCGAGAATATATATACTGACACGATAACCAGCTCGGACAAGATAAAATTAAGTATATAAGTATGTTAAAATTCCAAACTATTGTAGAACAAACATGTCAACGAACTTTATACGATTCTAAGAAAAATTTTAGAAGGAAAAATCTATACACACTTTTTAACACGTAAAACGCAGAGTCACGGTAATTCATCAAATATACTTGTTTCTATAATGTTTGCTTTTCTGGTATTATCTTTTATCATGTTTGTAGGTTTGTATTTAGAAGATATAAGTACTAACTTTTGCCAGCGGCTCGTCTATGCTATGTCGGTTATCGAGGTAAAAATTTGTCTATGTCCTGCCTCAAGAATCAAACTATCTCCATATTAAATTTCATCAAAATCAGTTCAGCGGTTATTGATTCCCTATACAAACTTCCACCCACTTTAAGAAGATTTCTGATATAAAAACTATCCTAT